CATACCAAGGAAAATGCATGTTCGTTGCTAGACGTCCCTGACACCAACTTAACTTCTGCTCCAGAGTCTGCCATGCTTCTTGGACATCCTTGCGTAAGATATAACGACCATCATGTGTCGCCTCAATGGGCACGGAGTAGTAGGAATGATTGAGGCACCCGAAAATGGCACCGTCAAAAACAGGATTTTGAGGGATAATAGGAAACCATGGGCACGATTTGTAAGCCCACTGTGTAGTTAAAGCATCTTTGATATTTTCAGGAGAGCAATCCGACTCTAATACTGGATTCCAAGGTCGAGGGATAGGGGGAATCACAGCAGGAAGCGATGTATTAAAGGATGTGAAAATTTGCGCTTCATGTACGAAAACGCAGAGGTCAGGAGCCACGATGAGCACGGGTGATGGATGAGATTGGTCCGAGTGTTACATGGGTCTGGAGAGATGGATGCAAAGTAGACACGAACACGACAGTACAAACTGTCGCGCCAGGACCTAGAGGGGAGGTGTATACAAGATAGACGCGAAAATGACAGTACAAACTGTTGCCCTAGTACCTGTGGGAGAGAAGGACCTAGAGGGATATGTGTACGAGATGGATACAAACATGACAGTACAAACCATTGTGCCAGGGGAGATGTAGATGTGTGTCAAGGTAAGAATGGATGGGATAGGTAAAACAAAGTCAAACAAAGTCAAACAAAACGTCCTAACCTAACCAAGTCTTCATTTGCTTCAAGTCTCCAAAGCTCAGCAGTATGTACTGCTGAGTCTTAGCTCCCACCATCTTCTCTTCTCCTCGCTCGACTGGCTGCATCACCCAGGGGTCTGTACTGTCGTTGTGCTTCTGAGAAATAGGTGATAACTACGTGGTGAGTGGCTTTTTGATTTAGACTGAGTCTCATACTTAACTCTTCGAGCAGACATCTGCCATTATGCCACCTAGTGGTCTGTACCGCTAGGATGTGCTAGTGACAACCTCCAATTCAGTGCGGCGGACTTCCTCAAACCTCTAATAGGGCGTACCTTGGGTGCCTCGTTACTTTTGTGCTTTACCACCCACTGCCATTATGCCACCTAGCGGTCTGTACTGCTATGATGTGCTAGTGACAACCTCCAATTCAGCGCGGCGGACTTCCTCAAACCTCCAATTATGGTGTACCTTGGGTGCCTCAGTACTTTTGCGCTTTACCCACCCAACACGCCATTTCACCCGTCAGGGGATTTTGTTCTTCAGTCATTCCTCCATGTTGCTGTGGAGGGATTTACGGGATAGCAACTAGCAATTCGCAAAATCTACTAAAGGAGAATAACCTCCTGCCCCAAACCATCCTGTCCTCTCCGAGTTCCTCTGATGTTGTCCTTTCTTGCCTGCACTGCCTGATGGAAGACCCTTTCTACTTTGGGGGTGATGTCGTGTTTTATTACATGATGAAGATCCTCGCCCGCATCTTTTTTTGCTTCTCAAATGACTTCCATGAGCTTTTCGGTCAGTTCATGGAGTATCAAGATGTTGCTCTTTTCACGTACTGCCTCTTGGATATATGGTGCTTCTTCAAATACTGCACTTTGTGGAGGGTTGCTAGCGGGAAAGATGAATATGTGCATTGGTCTCATGCGCTGGGCGATGTCTATTGACCATGTCACCACCGTGTCCTGCAGGTATGTCAGTTAAGCCAATTGTTGCCGAGCCAACCATTGACTCACAGAGTAGCTGGTTATCAGAAAGGAGACAATGACCGCCGAGGCACTTAAGTGAACCAGAAGCGTAAACATGTGCTTCAGCATATGTAATAATGACCAGGAATCTTTAGAGGTAAGAGTCGCCTTTCCTATGCTATAATCGTGGACCCATAAGTTAATTGTGGCTTTGCCGCGGCCTAGTGCTGGTGATGCAGTGGTGACTGTGCAGCACCCATCAATATCTCAGGTCTTAGAAGATTGTCAATATTGTATCCTTGGCAAAAATTCAATACCTACAGTGATGGTCTGCACCAGGCCTCCATTGGAGTGGCGAAGAGTGTCAAGTAGCTTGCCTGTCTTCCTTTCAAATACATACACTGATCCATTGTCGCTTCCTCCTACAATCAATCTTCCTTCTGCTCCGAATGCCACCTGTTTGGGTACTGACACACTCAGAGGAGCAGTTACGAATGTTTGAACTGGCTCCTCATTGCTGTCAAGTCGGTACAGCATAAAACTGTCTGCTACATTGTCCACCACAAACATGCCTCTCTTCTGATTGACAGCTGCGTGACTGCTGACAGAATGTTAGTGATTTGTATATTGATCGTGAGCTGTGGACTGACATCACTGATTTACAGGTATACTCCTTCACCACTGTGCCGTCGTCGCCATTCAACTTGATGAAATTACCATTGTACAGTCCAAACACATAGACACCTCGGTCGTCTGCAAATGCGACAGACTTAGGTACTGTGTTGTCTAGTCGCACTGAAAACACAGCCTGCAGTTGTGAATTTGTGTTGAGGACAAGGACCTGAACTATTCTGTCCCTCGTTCCAATTGCTATCCGCGCACCTGCATCGGAGGACGTCGGATCCCATGACATGCAAGTAATTTCAAAGCCCGATCCGAGTCTCCTAATGCAAATCTCCTGAAAATGCATCTGTTGATGTCAGGCGAAGGCCTAACGATGAACTAGGATTCTCTTACATCTATTGGGCTATGCCGCAAGAATGCCATGTAACCTAAACCGGTTCCATAACAAAGTGTTTCCGCCATGCCTAGTCTTGTGGTGATCCAGACAGTGCAGCTGACTGTACCCCGCGACTCGCAGTTAAGAGGAGAGCATGTGAGTTCTTTTCACGATCTGGTATCCCAGAGTTTAATGCCCTCGGTGCTTACTTGTTTGTTAGCACCCTGCAATAATTAGAATGCATGTGAGTTACCACTGCATGCAAGAGCTTGGCCATCATTGGAAATTGCAAGTGCATGGATAGAACCGCCATAGGTAGAGAGGCACGCTCGATGTTGGAAGTGTTGTGTTGATTTTGTGAAGAGTGACCAGGCAAAGAGAGACATTGTCGCATATAATCTTATCAATTGTAATTGCCAGCTCATTAACTCGCAGCCTATTTGTATAATGACTCTATTTGTTTTAGTAAACTTTTGTTCATGATTCCATGGCGATCATTTTGCTGACTTTTGTGTTCGGTTTTTTCATGAGCAACTTAGGGCCAATCTTATATTACAGTCGTCTATTAAAATCTATTGTACTTTCTATTCTCATCTTTTTTGTCATCGCCATCCTGGACAACGTGTTTGTTGATCTGTAATTGGTTATTGTTTCAACCCAATATGGCAGTCGAAGTGGTGCCATACTCATAAATCTTGCTAGAAGGTTACCTTTGTTCATACCTGCTCACATCGCCAGTCTCATCACAGCACTGTCATGCGCAACACAATGAAACCTGTCTCTCCCTTCTACAACCAAGAGCCTGGTGCTCCACCACCGTTTCCTCCCATGCTTACTGACCAGCTTGAGTTATTTGGAAGTACTCATCACCCAACTATACTCATCTCCGATGAGATTCTCCCTGCAAAAGCTAGCACCATCGTCCCACCTATTCCTGCCCTCAAGGGCACGCCTGAGATCAAACTTGTGGCACCATCATCCAAGACCAATTGTTGTTTCTTGTGGTACCCGAAGAGAGTCTCATTGGAGCGGTTTTCTTCTCAGTCACCCATATCTTCTGATTCTTCCGACTCCATTGATTCGGTGTCAGACAGTGGCTCATCTACTTTGGCCGCGAGTCTATCAGAAGACTCAAAGATACCCAAGCCCCCTGGCAAACCTGGTTGTCTGGGGCGGGGAGGATACATGCTCCAGGAGAGTTTAAACTGGAGTCCAAAGGCATACACGAAGTTTAAGGTTAGTGACATGTTCTCACTGCGGTCTGCTGCTTACTAAATCAACGCCTCAAGAAATCTATGCACCACCTTGTTGAGAAACATCTCAATACCACAAAGTGCGCCTCTTCCCAAAGCCCTGCACTCCTGAGATATGTGTGTGACAAAGTCAGTACACCTTCCATGGCGATCATCCACAATCTCATGATCTATTAGGCTGTTGATGCTTTCCCCGACCTAGACAACTACAGTAGTTGCTGGCCAGTGAATGATATCATCATGATGCATCTGAAATACACGTTGGAATGTGCTAGGCAGAAGGAAGCAGGGATGGCTTTGGGCAAGAGCAAGAGGAAGACATATACATCGCCTGTGAGCTCTATTATTATTGCAAAGGTCAGGGCTAATGCTAATCTACAGGCCACTTGATTCATCCTGTCCCCTATATCAATATTGTAAATTACTCTGTAGAAAATGTCAGCATGATATTTGTCGGGACCTAGTCTCGAATAAGGGCACATCGAGCAAAAATTAAGCGGAGTGATAGACGTAGGGATGCATGTAGAAAGACCTGAACTCGAGTTACAACTCAGCCATTGATGGGTCATTCCTGACACGACAGTATGTACTGTCGTAAATCATTTCTCTTAATAGCTACCTCCCTCCCTTTTACCGAATTCAACCTTGCTACTCTGACCCCACAGGCCCACCGATTGTCGACCAGCCATCTATGATGGTATGTACCGTCGTGTGCATTATCCTGTGGTCACTGTTATAGTGTCCCTCGTTGTTTGCGTATCCTTCATGACAGCGCCCTCTGGGCGAACCTCATTCATTATTTACTACAATCATTATACAATCACTTTCAAGTATCAAACTACCGCCTCATGAAACCTGGAAACCAGCCGATGGTTGAGCCGAGTGCTTAGTGGCTTCACAAATGTGAGAGTGCATGGGATCCTTGCTCGAAAATGATGTTTAATGTATCGTGTAAATCTGACAGGTACCAGATCAACGAGGCTCAAGGAATGACCATCTACTGAACTCACTGATGCATGATAAAGTCAGCGAGTGCATTGTCCCTGCCTCGCATATTCACAACAGAGCCACTGCTAATGCCAACCCTCATCACAACTGCGTCACCTCGGAATATGTGTTCTATGCTGCTAAGAAGGGGGTTGACTCCCAGACGACAGTGTCGCTTGAAGAAGACGCAAAACTGGTAAATGTGTCTCCCTTCATGTAGGGTAACAAAACAATTATGCACGTAAGGCTGCACGGCAGCATAATTCAGGAGGCTCTCAACAACGGGAAAGTGTTGGGCTTGGCACAAGTGATTGGAGCATCGTGTCAACATAATGACCTGGCGAGGTTTACTCCCCGATGCAGAATACAGCCTACAATGCAAATGGAGCTCTGGAGTCTTATACAGCTGTCAGCGAGGATCAGGAGTGAGGTGAGGTAACTTACAAATGATGTAGAGAAGATATACCCGTGAGTGTTGACCATTGCAGCAAAGGAATGACAAAAATAAGTGACAAGGCGACCAGCGCTAAGGATGACGTGAGGGAATGGGCGATGAAAGTGGGCGATGAAAGTTGGATTTTATAGCAGTTCCCCTTTGAACTGAGCACACCAACCACACACCCACCATACACGACTTTGAACCGAGCATGACTTTGAACCAAACACACCACACACAACAATATGTAGCTATTGTCTTGATTAACCAGGATATTAACTATGACAATAAACAATAAGTGTTGACTTGTGACTTTTTGAACTTAAATTTATTCAAAGCCAAACCTAATATATTCCTTGTTCAATCTCAATCCCGACTCATGACCGAAAAGTGCGCGATAAGGCTGCATATAAAGTAAAGACATATACATCCAAACCTAAATCACAATTCCTATTGCCATGTCAGTACGAATGCGCTTTCTTCTGGAAGATGTTCAAACATACAACGATGTAGGCTTATTTGACGATGCCATGGAAGACGATACAAGTCAGCCTTCCAATATGATCGTCAATACGGTACCTCCAATTAGATCAAGCGGGAGATAGATCAGATGGACCTTGAAGAGACTGTAGAGGATGTCACAAGCCCGCCCACCACAAGGACGGTTCTTGACAAGAGGGAAAGGCTGCATGTACAACAAAAGCAGGTCGTCGATAAGGTACGACTAGTACAGAGAAGTTAATAACTAGCTCAGTCTATACAGACATCGGACAAGCGTCGCATTAAAGAAGTCGACTACTCAGAGACATTGCACCAGACCATATACAGTCAAGAGGAGCAGATCAACACTATGAGGCGTGAAATGCAGATGGTTCGTAGTATCTTACTGCAAATTACCAATATGTGACTAGTGGCCGTAGCATAGAAAAGGTCCACCAAGAACTCGAGGTAATTCCTTTGCAGCGTTCGACAGATGATGCATGTTGACATCGTGGCATGGCAGGAGAACCATGCTCAGCAGCAAGAGAACCGCGCCCAACAGCAGAAGCAACTTGAAGATTATATCAGAGAAAGTCACGAAACACTCAGCCAGGCGAATTGCGAGGCAATAGACGCTGGCATGCATAAAATCCTGGAGGAAACTTGCGAGCAATTTACACAAGAATTGAGGCGGCAAGAAGCAGAGCTGGGTGAAGAACTGGCCAGGCGAGAGGAAGAATTAAAGAAAAGGAAAGAAGAAGAGGTGAGCTAAACAACTTAACAAGAAAATGGTTCATGATGATCAAGGTAGTGTCAAGAACAATCGAGTGCCATCTTCACGGAGATGGAAAGGAGACTACAGCATGAAATTGAGAAGTTGAAGGCGAGAATGTTGTTTCATAAACTCACAGGCAATATGCTGAAATCTGCTTGAATGCACTCCAGGCAGAAAAAGAGAGCGAGCTGGCCAGGATGGAACAACAATTTGCCAGGCGTCACAGGGTACAGGACGATGATATAGAAATTGATAATAGCCCCCTTCTGCAGAGAGACACAGGGCAGTCATCCGCACCATCCGCAAAACTGTCGTTAGGTACCCCATGCCTTGATGCGATTAGAAGGATAAAGAGAACTTGTGGAGTATCACGCAGGACTCGCCTTGTATCAATAGTAGCAGAGGTAAGGGTCTGATGCTGTTGGCTGCGATACAAGATTTGATGACAGTAGGTGAACACCGAGGAAGTCCCTTGTGAATCATCCAAAGAAGATGTACCACCACCTGAGCAGCACAATCCATTGCCTTGTGCCAGCCTCAGCATGGAGGACACAATCACAAGAGGTGTGGAGGCTGCACTGAGATGTGTTCTCATGGACAAAGAATTTTCAGGTCTCAAAAAGCGCAGTCCCTGGAGGAGAAAGACAGAGGAGGAAGAAGTACAGTGTGAAAAGGCAAGCGAATCAAACTATGAAAGAGACTTCCTGCTGGTAAGCCCAACATCATATAGAAGCTCCCACACTTACGGCGAAGTAGGGAGAAGTGTGGTGTCTCTTCAAAGATATGTTCAACATTTCTCAAGATGCCAATTTCATAGCCCATGAGGCAGCTCGTCGTGAGGATGTGTATTCATATGAATATGAAGATGGCCCAGGTCCTGATCTGAAAAACCTCGTGTTCGATACCAAGAACAGGTCCAAAACCCCCTGGAATAGTAGAATCATCGATCTGCTACTTGGAGAATTATGGAGAAGGGGTGATGAAGAGAGGTGGCCATTCACCAGGTCAGAGGCGTATTTCAGGAAAATTCTTCGAGATCGCTACAAGCGACTGCGTACGGTCTGGACGTGTGCCCAGCCTAAGGTCACGGCAAAGGGTGTGCTGGAAACTCCCGCGGAGGTAGAGGAGAGGTTAATCACGAAGAAGGACAAATTATTGAAGGTGACTCGTCAAATGACACATCGCAGAAATGTATGCTCGCAATATCCAGATGGTTCTAGCACTGATACTTTCTCAGAAATATCTCCGTAGAGCAACAGTTCTTGACCATCTCGTTAAGCAGAAGACCAATGATAAAGAAGAGGACCTCCCAGTGTGGCAGTGGCTTCAGCAACTAGTGAAGACGTTGGGAGAATGTGGTATGAATTTGGAAGAGAGCGATTTGGAGAATGATATTGAAACAGTCCTTTGGGTCAAGAACATGGTATGGCGCTGTGCAGTAGAATGCGAATTGGATATCGTCGATCACCAGAGGCTTGCGGATGACGATATATTCGCCCCCCAAGGCTCAAAGCCAATGAAAAGGATACGCGCAGCCAGGAATCCGAAGACCTCCAGGGTACCAGCTGAGGAATTGCCAAAAGCCTTGTATAGCGAAGAATGGCTCATGGGCCTCAGCAAACGTCAGGTCGAGAAGTTATCAATCTCAGACAAAAGATTCAAATGGATGCAGGTTGCGGTAGTGTAGTATATGTATTGTATGTATGCTCCAAAGGATGTAAATCAATAATAAATGTGTCAGGTAACAAAAGGATGACTCGATGACACGACAGTACATACTGTCGTGTGAGAGATGAGACCATCGAACTTGGAGGTAGGCAATGAAAGGACATGCGACGGTACATACGGCGGTTCATGCCAAGAGTGATGTGGAAAGTAAGGAAAGTATGTCGAAGGTCAAGGGTAGAATCATATTAGGAGAGGTCGGATTATCAGATTCAAAGTGACTACAAAAAGATGAGCACATAGTGCTACAAGTAGTAACACAGGAGTCGCTAAAACAAAAGATCAAGAACCTAGGTAGACAAAAACCCACGAAACAATTGGAGGCTGAATATAAATATGTTGCAAGCAGGCAACTGACTGCCAGAAAAATTCGCTTGACTGAGGTGCTTGAAGGACTGCTTGTCGTCGCCCAGTAACTGCGTCGACCACAGGGTTTTAGCTGAGCCGAAAATGGTCAGGCGAGGACAATAACCCGACACTTCTCAGCAGTACAGACCACTGGGTAGTGGGAGGAAGACTTAGACTCGACTCAGACTCGGCAGTACATACCACCGAGTGTTCAGAGTTGATCAGTCGAAAAGGACTTGGAGGTGGTTGTGTTGAGGCTTGTTGATTGCATAAGGTCAGCTTTAGTCATGTGAGTGCAGTTTACTGCTCTCAGCATAGTAGTCATCATTCACCTTTATTGTCCTGGCACGATGGTATGTACTGTCATGTTGTCGCTCGCCTCTGTTTCTTCCATTTCTATGAGGAGCCGACTTCGACTGCTGGGGCCTCATCGATCATCGATAATATTTGGCATGACGGTATATACTGTCATGCCATCCTTTCGTTGCCTGCCTCCACCGGACCTTTATTCCATTTTCGTTTCTGCGTGTCTGCGCTCCTTCTGGCAAATACTCAGAACGTTCATCCGCATTCATTTATCGTTATCGGCGCCCATGTAAGTAGGCACGTTGTACTTTGTCGCCTTGCTTTCCTTGTAAATTTTACATTGTTGTGAGTCGCCCCCACTTTGTCCTTGTTCTTTTATCGTTGCCAGTCCTTAAGTCCACGGTCTCCGACTTTTCTACTTCGTGGGAGGTAACGTGGTGAGTTCTTGGGAGGATTTAGTTTGTTGTCCTCTTCTTGTGTAGTCTTATACGAAGTTGTTGTGGAATGTTCTGTGTTCTGGATAAATTCATTAGGTTTGTTTCAGCCTAGTAGGTCGTGTTTCAACCTATGAAAGTCTGTTTCAACTTTGTCGTCCTTAGATATGTGTCTCACTTTCCGTTGAGAGACAGAGTCTTTTGTATACACGTAAAGCTTAGAATGAGAGCTGTTCAATGGTTATATAGTCAACCCCTGTAAGGTAGTATATAACCTAGAGTAGGATAATGATAACGAAAATTATATAGTCAACCCCTGTAAGGTAGTATATAACTTAGAGTAGATAATGATATCTTAGATTACCTCAAGACACTTATATTGGCCTGCACTTTAAGTCTTAGTAGTCTCACACGGTTTGAGATAAGAGTCAAGTGGGAGGATTGTATTTCATGGGTGAAAATGGGGTCCTTTTATACCTTTTGGGAACCCCCTTACTAAGCATGATTAATCAGATGGATTGGTAAGAATGTGGCTTACAAACCAGGTGATGAATCAGCTTATTACTAAGTACATTACAAATACAGTGTAATCTTACAAAGAAATTAGAAACCATGACAAACCATGACTAAACATGTTGAGTCAGCTTAAATAATGTTACAAACCAGAATATTTCCCAGTCACATGATGTGATGACAAATAAAAGCTGGTGGCTGAAAGAAGCCAAATACAAATAAACAGTCAGAAATAAATAGAGATACAAAACTTGGTGGCTGAAAGAAGCCAAATAAAAATAAACAATGAGAAATAAACAGAAGGTCACATGCTTGATACAAATACAAGGTAAAATAAGCCTGTAAAGTGAGAAATAAAATACAAGACAATGAAATAAAGGAAAAATAGAGAGGTAACTTAGTGACAAAGGGCTAGACAGTCTCTCATATCTTCCTTATCACTCTCTATATATATCTGACATGGTATGAATCACATACCATGCATGACAGCGAAAGCAGGCAATCATCACTCAGATTGATGACTTGGCCGCCCAGATCAGCAGGCATAAGCCGTCTGATGATGTGCTGGTACCCATCGAGATTAATACCGGTAAGCAATGAGCATGTGGGTCATGGGTTCTTTGCTTATTGTACGATAGATACCTTTCAGGTTTCAGTTGATCGATCAGATGAAATCAGCCAAGTTGTCTTATTACTTTGTGTCGCATGTAGGGTTATCATGGGAATGAGCAGGAGTAGCTATGATTTGATTGTGAAGATTATCACCATCATACTGTTCCTTGCATTTCAGAAGTCGGACGGTAGTCTTAGCTCGTCACATGAAAACATCCTCAAGCAGATCCCATTAACATTGGAAAGTGCGGAGGCAAAATTCCACCTTACCGGGACAACCATCCTGTATGCTGTTTGCAGTTGTCATTGCACCTACGCGCCGATTTATGCGCCAGGCTCAACCACCCCAACATACCCCAAACGTTGCACACATTGTCCTACTCCCGAGACCGAATATGGCGAAGATTTACTTGTCAGCGCTGACGGAGAACCCAGGCCCAAGAAGATTTTCTTGTACCACGACTTCAAAGATTATCTTGCTAGTCTCCTCTCACGTAGAGATATTGAGGCTGTAATGGATCAGGCGTGCGATGATCTCATGGAATCCATTAACTCTCCTCATCCGCCCTTCGTCAAAAATCCATTTGAATCTCAATTCCTCTGTCAGTTTGGTGGCCCGGAGCCAGGCTTGCTTTTTGTTGACAGAGGAGAGGAAGGGCACTATGCCTTTGCCCTTTTTGTGGACTTCTTCAATCCAGAAGGGTTGAATATACGCAGAGCTAGCACATCCTGTGGAATCATCTCCATGGCGTGCTTGAATATACCGTTGGATATTAGATACAAGCCAGAGAACATGTATGTTGCAGGCATCATCCCAGGTCCGAAGCAGCCATCACTAGAAAATCTCAACCACTACATCTGACCACTCATCAATGACTTAGTAGATGCATGGAAGTGCAGTGTCAAATTCTCCAAAACTGCCTGTTACCCTGACGGCCACGTTACTCGAAGTGCCGTTGCCCTGGTTGTTTGTGACCTTCCTGCTGCTTGACATATCGCTTCTCTGGCCGGAGTTAGTAGTCATTTTTACTGCAGTGCATGTGATTGCTACCACAAGTCTACTTATGGAAGAGTAGACTTCAAGAATTGGAAATCTCGCAATAGAGATGAACTCCGAGTATATGCGGAGCAGTGGAGAGACACTGCCATGTCCGGTGAACGTGAAACCTTGTTCAAGGCTCACGGCATGCGTTATTCCGAGTTTTGGCATCTACCATACTGGGACTCCTCTCGGCAACTGGTTGTTGATCCGATGCACTGCCTATTGGAAGGCTTAGTTCCTCACCACACTCATAATATACTTGGTTTGACTTCGAGGTCAACCGCATCGACTTCTGTCATTCCCGCATTTACGTATGATTTTGGCGAAGTGCCTCCTGGGACAATGATGTTGAAGGAAATGATGCAGATATCTGCGATCCAGACTCTCCTTGTTCCCCAGATGAGTATTTACGATGAAGAGGCTTGTTATAACAAGCTGAAGGACTCTCTGTTGCACAAGAATACGGAACCGTTGAAGTTCGTCTGCAATACCCTGGGTTGTATGCCAAGTAAAGCTGGTAGAACATTTAAGATAGATTATGTTAAAGTCCTCCTCAACTGGGTAAGTTCTTCGCCATCGTGTTTACTGTCCTGAGTTTCCTAACACTCATATACAGCGTCGTGGAAAGCCTTTATCTGCTCCCCAAGACGAACCTCAGTTTGGGACAGCAAAAGTGCTTGGACGTATTTGCGATGTCATTCGAGATACATCTGTCCCCACTTGGCTTGGTTCAGTCCCTAGTAATTTTGGAGAGGCGTCTGCTGGGATGCTTAAAGCTGATGAGTGGCGATCACTCATCATGATCTACCTTCCTATGGCCCTTGTGAGCTTGTGGGGAGCTGGTACCCCACATTCTTCCGATGAACTCACTGTCCACCTCAAAGTTGTTCTTGATCACACTATGGAACTTGTCGGTGTGGTGTATATTGCATGTGCATGAACCATGACTGCAAGACAAGCGAAAGTGTATCGCTCGTACATCTCTGGTTATGTCAGAAAGTTGAAGGAGATCCATCCTACCTTCTCTCTCCGCCAAAATCACCATGCATCTTTCTACTTATATGACTATCTACTCCTATTCAGGCCCGCCCACTCGTGGTGGAGTTTTCCCTTCAAGCATCTGATTGGAATACTTCAATGTCTCCCCATAAATCACAAATTTGGTGAGCCCTTATTATATGGAACAAAAAAAGTAGACTGATATCTTGTCAGGGGAGCTCGAGAACACAATGCTTTGTTCGTATATCAAGGCTACTAGGTTTCGCCGTTGGCGCACTCGACCGGACTGTCCGCCTGCTATCCAAGAGTGCAGGGTCCTTTTTGATAAAGTATATGCCCCAAAGGGTGCTATAGATCCCTACCAAGAGCTTGCTGAAGATCCTATGGATGATGTCGTCTAGGTGCCTGACTCGGCAATGACCAGTGCAGTGCCTGAGGATTTATATACCCTTATCCGACGGCGAAAAGCAGTATTATGGGCCTCACTCAAGTTTGATGGTATCATTTACAGCAGGGCATCTACGCACCTGGGAAACAGCCAGATTCTGTTCTATCCCGATGGAGATAGATCATTGACCCCTGTCCCCACTAGTATCATATATATCTATGGTATGACGACAGGAGAAATGTCATTCGCTGTACAGTGACATCTCCCGCTGGATATTCACAACCGTACAATTGACCCCTTCTCGATGTATCCCGATTTTCCGGCCAAGTTGTACTCAACAAACTTACAGAGTAGTCTCGAAAAAGTCAAGGTGTCCTGGGTAGCTGGCCACTTTGCACGGTGGGCGGTTTCTGACTCTCATGCAGTAATTTTATCCCTATCTCGCGATTGACAGATTTAGCTAAACCCTCTGAATGATTCATACTGACGATTGTATCTTTTGTATTGTATTGTATCGGTGTCATATGTTATTACTAGATATCCATGATAATAACAGTGTATATTTGAATTCTTGCATATCTGCAAATGTCATACACGAGGTAACGAGTTCGGGTGGTAAGCAGGCAACGAATGAGTTATGTGCGGGCAATGGTCAGACAATGGGCAGGCGATGATTGGGCGATTCATTTCGTCTGCAGACAAAACTTGAAGTTTTGTCATCACATTTTGCCACCGGTGTAAACTTCAAATTTTCAGGGTGTCCTAATTGTCAGACAAAACTTGATAAATAAGCAGGCATATAGTCATGTCCCAAATTTCATGTTTTGTCTGCCGTTTTAGGTCTGAATTAAACTTCAAATTTGAGCACACGCAGAGAATTGGATTAAATTTCTTATTGTTGTTGACATATAGTCGGTGGGAATATGGTTGCCAATGCTTGAAATTTTGTATGTCGTCCAAAACATTACCAAAATTTGAAGTTATGTCCCCATCTTTATGTCGGTTTAAATTTCAAATATTTTCTTCACATTTGGTACGACATAAAAACATCTCCTAAATATCGATAACCCCAATGTGATTGCAATCACAGTTGCAATCAATCTTAGTCATTGTAACCGCTCAGCCGCAGTGAGCATTGCAACCGGTTCCAATGATGCCACCAACAATTGTAATAAAAATAGTCCCCCTTACAATGTTGTTCAATTGTTTTTTTTTGTATTTGTATTTTATAATATTAGTCATCTTTTTATCTTTCTTACCATAGTCACTCATATGCATCTCCTATATACCAGAATCATAAAAAAGACATCAATGCGAGAGGATGCAAGATCAACAAGCCACTCACAAGTCTTCCGCTGCACTAGTGAAAAAATGCACACCCTCCAGTAATATGCATATGCTCTTGACAGGTGCATGATGCTGTTGTATCCCGTACTTTAACAGACATGTCATCTGAACATAAAACAAAGAACGCATGATCTGGTCCAGGAGATACAGCCAATCCAGTGAGGGCAGAGTGAGATTGGAGGTAAGCAATGAGAGTGGTGTCCATTCACCAGTTGTTGCTATCGCGCGCCACAAAGCGTTGTCTGGCTGTATTGTGTTGATTAATCGGCCCTTCATGCACCTTTGGACCGAAGTCATGCTGCAAAAAGTTAGAACTGTCAGAACCTCGGCAGTGCCATGTCAACACGCTCACCATTGCACTTAGACTAATAATATGATGAGCATCGGCTGGAATACCATGAATGTTGAGAATATTGATGAGGATGTTGCTCAGCAGTGGCCTGGTCAATTTTTTTAGCACACAACTCATGGACTAATATCTGTTGACGACCTACCAATGAACAACCAACTTGGGAAGATCACATCAAAGGTGTCACAAAGCACGAACAGAAAATTGTCGGTAGAGAACCGACGAACATCTGGTCTTGCCTGTCAATGAAACATGATGATGATGCCAGATTGAATCAGACTCACCAGAACAATTCCGAGCACAAAATATATTATGAGTTTGAAAAAGACAGATTCTGATTCAGAGATTGAAAGAGTAGCGCTATTAAACGACATGATGGCAGAGTGAAGAGAGAATGGAACAAAGAGACTTAGAATGAATTTTCTAATAGCAGATATGATTAATAATGAGACATAGGAAATTTAGAATGCTGTTTGCTTAATATTTCATCATTTTCACATCCAATTTAATAATTGAGCATGCAGATGCAAGCTGAAATCAAATTTAAAAGCAACAGCAGGCAGTACAACATGAAGTGTGATCATTAATATATCTATCCCTAGCAAGTGTGAGTACCATGACGAACACCTGGAGCTGCAAGTTTCTTCGCCCTCATCTTTCCTCTACCCTGAGTTGGTTGCTCTGGACCAGGTCCCACATCTGAATCCTGCACCATGACTGCAGTAGTAGTGGCTTCTAGGCCCATCATTACAGGTACTTTGGCATGCTTTCTGGAAGCGGTGCTGAGGGTGGAAGCGCTACTGAGAGTAGAAGCAGCACTGAGAGGTGGGGTGACAAAATGTTCTGGAGGCTGTGCCGCCTTGATAACATCAGACCAAGAGGCAGTGGCAGCTTGTGCTGTAGAAGATGGCATAGGTACATCTGATTCACTATCGCTATCCATGTCCAGCGCATTCATGGTGCGAATGATTTCGCTGGAGTGATTTTCCTGACCAGCTGGGCCAGAGGCAGAAGACTTTGCAGAGCCGAAAACTTCACGGTTGATGTTTTGAACAATAGTCTGGATGCGACGGCTATCCCACTTTGTGAGCAAGAGCTTCTTATAGTGGTAGAATAGATCTTTGTAGTTGATACCGGATGACTTTCCCAAGCCAGACTTCTGAAATTCCATGTCACGCGACAGCAAAAAGATTGCTGCAATATTAGCTGAGCAACACCGTCACTTGATGTAGGGTGGATGACTCACAATAACGGCGGCCCATGCAATGGACCCTGGTGTGACCTGTTTGAAGTTCCATTTGTGTCTGTTTGTCTTTGGTCTGCCACTTATCTCTTGATGAAGTGAAGTGATGCCACGTAGTGCAGCCTTCAGAACCTATTTAGAGGTGCGTCATCATGTAGTCTGCAAAAATACACAGCCGAAAAGCCTACCTTAGCCAAAAGCTCCCAGTTTCTGAACACAGTCTTCAAAGACAAGTCTTCCTGCATTCCAAGAAACAATACCGGTTGAAAAGTCTTGTACTTTGGATTTGTCACTGACACTCCAAGTGTTACAAGTCACATCGGCTACATGGCCCCCCTATCATTTTTCCTCATCCTCGTCCTCGCCCACCTCCAGCTCGTACTCCTTTACCAACTATCCATTGACCGGATCCTCAGGACTGTTCCCATCCCCCATCTTCCCCCTATTGCACCAATGTGCACACGTGCCTTTGGGCTATGACTCATCCTGAATTGTGCCACCAATGTGGCTTTCCTTATCTGCTCTTATCGTTTGTTTGACTCATGCGTGCTGCGCATTGTATCTCTTACCATTGGTTCATTCCAACGTTTCTTGGTCTCATTCCACATTTGACCTCCCATCACTAATCAGGCTCTGCTGCCAGCGTACCTATACCCTTTCCGTTTCCCCTCTACCCTTACCTACAGTACGGTAGCCTTGCCCTTAACCCTCTCCACTTAGTATAAGTAGTTGGTCACCTTGTACTAGATTCTCTAACTTGAATCTACTCAATCTTCCCTCGAACATACTTCCCTCTGAAGCCCCTTCAGCTTCAGTCTCTAGTATCTTTTCTTAGGTGCTCATCGCGCCTAAGTCTACCTCAATCGACTACTCATTGTTCGGACAGGACAGTCCTTACTTTGAGAACGTCAGTGACTTTGAAAACATCTGTCTTAGAAGTCACGTGACACGTGCATCTCTGATATCTGCCGACTTGACATTGCCAGTCTCAGTCACTACACCGGACTCTTCCAGTTACATCATGAATGTTAGTGGACAATGCCCCTCTTAGGGCTCCACCTAACAGATCTATTTGAGTGCGTAACACCAAGTATGTCCCATATTTCTGTGACATCAGCTCTGCGATAGTTGGTATTGGTGAAGTACATCCCTGGAAGGCCAAATATATCACCAGTGACACCACACAGCTTATTGATCTCTGATGAGTGAGCCTCAGAAATGGATTTCATTACCTTCAGATGAATTGTCACTTACATTTAGTAATATCAAAACATACAATACTTACGAGATCACTGAAATACAAACTTTCCATGGCACTGTGTACACGATTGGGGAAGTGATGAAATAGTTTGTTCAAGAATGCTGATTCCTGTGTCATTGCTGTCAGGTACCGGTCTCGGCTGTCAAATGGAGTTGGGTTCTCAGGACGTGGTTTGCTGAGAAGGTTGGGATTAGGGAACATTTCAACAGTCAGGTCATATTTACGAGCATAAAGTGTTATTATTTGCTCATGGGCTGCAAGTTCATCAGGTGCTTCCACACGACATTTTCATTTGGGCTTCTCAGTGATCAGAACTTTGTTCTCCTCACGAAGAGTACAATTGTCCTCGATAAGCTTCTGAACCTGAACCTGCAGTGCCTTAAGTGCCTGGCACGAGAGAGGATTCATTAGATGAGCCCTATTAATGTAGTCGAGCATTCAGAGCATACCTCTATGAGGTCTCCCTTTGATGCATTTGGCCCTGGAATTGCAACTGATTCAATGAAAGGTTCCTCATCCGAGTCATCGTCAAATGTATTCCCAGACAGATGCAACATGATGCAAAATGAACTAGAGGGAAGGGAGACAAGAAAGCGGTCAGCGCAACACCCCAGTATATAAGGGAAAATGTTTTGCATACCTCGTGTATGCCACAGCCAAAGATGTCCGAGTCTTTGCAATAATTATACGTACATCAGTTCTCATCATCCCTCAGGCCGCAGTGATGTGCTGGCACCAAGAAGAAAAGTACTGTGATGCATCTTGAAACATGCTTATGTTCTGGCCATGTAATAAAGGCATGGCCTGACCTTACAACATAATATGAAATCAGCATGAGTAATCAGTGTAATATCGCAGGCTGGTCTCTTACGTTTTGTGGGCCTCTAGTTTGGCTCTTCAGTTTCCAGTACAAGAATAGGATAGCCCTCAGTATGTTTTGTGATGGTAGCCAAGAAGGTGAGCATGACTGAGAGATAAGGATTGAGAGTCAAACAAGTGAAATGTGAGGCCTTCCATGTCGGATTGCGCAGAATGAATGAGTGTCGAGAAGGTGAGCATGACTGAGAGATAAGGATTGAGAGTCAAACGAGCAAAATGTGAGGCCTTCCACATTGGACTGCGGAGCACTCAGAATGAGAGTGTTAAGAAGGTGAGCATGACTGAGAGATAAGGATTGAGAGTTGAACGAGAAAAATGTAAGGCCTTCCATGTTGGATTGCAGAGCACGAATAAGAGTGTTGAGAAGGTGAGCATGACTGAGAGATAAGGATTGAGAGTCAAACGAGCAAAATGTGAGGCCTTCCACATCAGATTGCGGAGAATGAATGAGAGTGTTGAGAAGGTGGGCATGACTGAGAGATAAGGATTGAGAGTCAAACGAGCAAAATGTGAGGCCTTCCATGTCAGAGTGGAAGGAATGGCCGGACAAGATGGTTGCTGTAGGTTGAGAATAAGATAATTATACCACCTTCTAGCATCCTGGACTTACTGCTGTGATGGCTGGTGGATGTTCGACATCAAACACGCCCAATGTGCCCTGCCTCCAAATGCATCATCTTCATGTGAAGAAATATATCAGTATCCACAGTATCAACTACAAGGTAATCTAAAGGTCCATCTGGTACCAGAAGCACTCCACGTATGATTGATCTGACTGAAAAAAACTGTGCCTCTGCTCGTCGTCTTGCTCGAACTCTGAAGAGGTTAAGATCCCTGTCCTTTTGAGAGCGCTGACCGGTGGGAGCATCAAAAGGGTGAATAAGAGCAAGGGGAAAATTGCGGTCCCCAATGAGACATTCAAAAAGGAAGAGTAGTCGGCCAAGAATGACTTTATCTTCTGTCTGCCAAATGAAGACACAGTCAAAGCGTGGAGAACCAAAGAAAAGGGGATTGCACCAAAGATAATCTGTGTGTTGGCACCAGTCGACCATCAATTCATAGTTGACACGAAGAAATCAGTGCTCTGTAATCTAGTACTTGTATGTTAGTGTAGCCAATAAACAAGCTGAGATATAATGTCCTACCTTATTGTTTCCTCGGAGATGAATACATCTACCTTCAGGTAGCGGTATATCCGACGAGGGTAATAGAATGTTAAGAAATTCATTGAGATTGATACGAAAATTATGAAACACTTGGTCATCCTGATGAAGTTTCTCAATTGCATCAAAAGTCTCCAAAGGTTGTTTCGATCCAAGCTTGACATGAAAGGAACTGTTAGTTGAAATAGGGTGCTCAACAACATGCATGATGAAGTCTTCTTCTGACTCCAGCAAGTCATCTGCATGTAATTGACATTGATGCTCGTCAAATTCAAACAAGAGACGATGGATATGATCCGCAATGACTTGCCACTGATTGATTCGAAGGATCTGTCAAATAATATGTCTAAGTTAGTAAATGATTGTTGTAACAACGCACCTGCTCTGCTACATCACGAAAGTTGGTCCACAGCAAATATGAATCCTTTAACGAGCTGTGCATCTTCTCATTTGGCTTTGTATTGTAGTTCCGTGTTGCTCCTTTTGCTTCGACATCGTTGAAAATATGTAGGTCCATGTGTAATTTTGGAAAATTACAATTTTTTCCATTCTTGTTGGCCGTTTTGTCGATATATTGCTAATAACAAGTTGATTAGTTGACTATTGGTAGCAGTAAACACATGAAACATACATGCAAAATGGCTGAAAACATGTGGTGCATATGACAGCCACTGCTGATAGTTTCGGCTGTGTGAACTTCAAGCAAGGCATACATATCGAGTTCGAGGTAAAGACAGACACAATGAAGGAGTAAATAACTGAGAGGACAGTCCTGCTTGGGTAGAATGTCATGAGTAGCATATATGATCATCTAGGAATCTGTCAGACTCAAGCTAGTAACACAAAAGTGTGATACAAACCTTCAAAATGTCTTCATGCACGGAGTTGTCCGTAAACGCAATGTTCATTACTTGGTTTGGGTGCTTCTGATCTCACCAATGAGGAAAAGCTTGATAGCTGTATTAAACTATGTCAATTCAACTCAAAACATTTCTGAAAAAAGCCTTACTTCTTATCTACTTGAGAGATTTTGTCACATCCAAGACTACTGATATGTTTCTGAAGCTCAACCCACAAGTGATCCAACCATTCACCACCAGAGTGAAAGTGCAGTTTGTCCCATGACAGTGCATGATGCACATCTGTAGACTTCATTGTCCACAATGCATTCTATGATGAGGTTAAAAATGTGGCAGGAGAGTACAGATAAACTCACCAGGATATCACAAAGTCCATACTCTTTTAGTATCTCCTCCCTCTCTTCTGCAGTTTCCTTCACTTGTGCAGTTGCTAGGATAGCTTGCAAGTCACGGGATGTGTGGCAGGGATAGCAGTGTGACATACATATCACTAAGTTTGTCGTGTGGTACCAAACAGATGGGGCATGGCCAAAGGGCCCTGACACCTCAAGTGAGTGACATTGTAGACCTTGAAACACAGTGAGTTAGCAAGAGGCCAGCATTGAAGTTGGAATCTTACTGCTCCTCAAAATCGGATGATAAGATTAGTATTAAGGGGAAAAAACAGCGCTGAAGCCTATCTAAACACTCAAGCCATTGTCCCATATTGGATTTTGCCGCTAGCGAAGAGAGGATCCTTTTGAAGCACTTGTGCCATACCGTGGCCTTGAAGTTGGCCCATGCTGGCTTGCCAGAGTGTTGCTTATCTTCCTTCACCTGTATGAATAGAATTAGTTCAAATCAGTGGACATAGCAAATGTATCGGACCACGGGAAGCCACCCAACAACATAACCACCACCCGTCCCCTGACCATTGCGAATGTCAGTGGGTAAGTTGGCTAATCGCGCAATGACAGGGTAGCCTTTTGCAGTACTGAAACTTGATAACTTCATCTTGTCAGCATACAAGATGAACGTGAGGGGCTTTGCATCAGGCAGCAGTTGTGACTATACAATACATTGAAATTTAAATGCAATTAAAATCACTACATGTGGTACATTGACACAAATAGTACATACTTGAGCATCCCAGAAGTTTTGAGCCGTAAAGGGCTCATCTACAAAGTGTTCAAATGACCGGCCATTGAATTTTGACAAGCATTGAGCATCGAAATGAAAGTGAGGAAATAGATAAGGATCGTGGAGGAGGTCGGTGGCCCACTCCCAAAGATCATGATAGTAGACATCAAAGTACCAAGATGCATCAGCAAAGGGTATTGAAACCATGTCTTTCGTAAACTAAGCTTAAATGTTAGTCCAATGAGAATCATACAGCAAGCAATGAGACAACCCCTGTTACATGCTGAGAGGCTGCATTTCACTTAGCGCGGACATCCTTATGGTTCTGGAAAGTGAATTTCTCTGACTGCCACGCACAATGGCGGCAGATGTCAAGGAGACAATCAGTCTGAGAATTATTGAGGGCTGCTTCAAGGGCGATTTCAGTGATATCAAACTCCAAACGAGACGTGAAGGGACACCAAGGTTGGGCATCAGGTTCAGGAGTGGACCATGAGGAGTAATGGGCTGGATGGCTCTTGAAATCACCAAACACGTGAACTTTTGTTGGGATCCCGCTATTGGGGTGATGTTCGCCTTTGATATCATCGACCTGGAATTCACAATATTCGAGGTCTCCATCGTCACCAGGGGAAAATGGCGGATCGTCTAACATTCACATTAATGATACACAATTAAGAAAAGGCAAAGGAATCATGTCAGAACTCACTGAAAATAAAGTCCGGATGATTGATGCCATGAGAACTTGTCAAAGACGAGCCTGTTGTGACTGATTAATAAACGGATAAGTGAAATAGACACAATAGTATATGACACAAAGGATGAAACTTACCTTGTGTGTGATTTGGAAGCATGTTGATGTTTGGTTCTGCAGCTGCTGCATTGACAGTCCTGCGTCCAGGACCAATAGGATTATTTGCTGCAGCTATATTCTGAATCAGATGGGAAGGTGATGAGAGCAACTCAAAATGCACCTTTTCGCTGCCTGATTGATTCCGCGACACATTCATCATGTGCCCGCTTGCTGGTGTTCCTCTTGCAGGCCTTTCAGTGAGTGGCCCAACCACGTGGTTTAATATTCTGTTCACACAGATCACAGAATTTCGGCCGGTCAGAGCCCATAGTGTTGACAGATATATATGAGGTATCTACAGAATTGATATGCACAAAGAAATCGAGGGATACAGGTGGTGAGAGCACAAATACCAGGAACGATGCCTTGCAATCAGCTGACAATGCATTGAAACTCAGCGAATAACCTTACATTATCATACCAATGGGAATTTCAACGACATTTCAACAATGGAGCATTGAAATAGGTTTCGCAAATTTCCGACACAATCGAGCTTGGACTCTCAGAGTTCATTTGTAGTGCTAGGGGTGATGCTCAATGTTTGATTTAGTAGAAGAAGACTCGGACATACGGGTACCATGAGGCTGAAGCAAGTATGCCTAGATCATGGAGGCTGTGAATGACAAGACACACCTACATACAGCGGATGGATGATGTGCATGCCATGTGACCTAACAAGCGCCTGTGAATCATGATACACTTTTCCAAACACTTAGGTCCAGTTTGGACAACGACTCCGGGTTCAAAATTTCTGATTCAAACTGCATGTGATGATTGCACATGATAGGTCCAGATGGCATGTAAGTATATAGATAGATAATCGGCATATATATGTGTGTCATATCCATCACTGCCATGGATATTGAAGCGCAAATGCAACATGATCAACGACACAAAATCGTGGTCATTATCATTACCATTGTGGTCGCCCAGGTCACACATCTATACCATCTTTTATTCTTATCCCGCGCTGAAAGAATTCCTTACCACACATCCATACTTACTGGGCAAGCATGGGTATATGAACTGATCAGTGGTCATCCAGACAGGATCAGACACAATTTCGGAGTTGATTTTCAAATTTTCGATGAGCTGTTAGCAGTTCTTAACCGACACGGCTTTGTCCAGTCCCGGAATGGGGTAAGCGTGTCAGAGCAACTCGGCATTTTTCTCTACATGTGTGTTACTGGACTTTCGTCTCGCCACGTCGGAGAAAGGTTCCAGTGCTCTCCTGATACGATTACAAGTTAAGTGCCTAACTTTTGATATAACTATTGTTCAAGTTGTGCTGATTTCTGCAGATATTTTAAACACCTACTCATGTTCTTTTCATCGGCTCCCTTCTACACCTTGAACGTCCGCTTCCTGGACCAAAACACCCCACTTTCTGCAGCAATTCACACTGACCCTCAATTCTGATTCTTCGACCACTGTATCGGTGCTGTTGACAGCACCCACATCCGCGTTTTTGCGCCGCTTGAAGACCATGTTGTCCTGCACAACAGGAAAGGCTTTTTATTGCAGAACTGATTGTTTATATGTGACCTCGACTTCTTTTTCATTTACTCACTCACAGGGTGGGACGGCTCAGTCGCCGATGCTTCCCTTTGGAACAACACGTGCTCTCATGATTTGCATGTGCCCAAAGACAAGTATCTTCTAGCCGATGCCAGCTTTGGTACGTGTGACACACTTCTTGTGCCTTATCGAGGTGTCCGCTACCACCTGAAGGAATGGTGTTAAGCTAATCTCACATGAGTTCCTTTTTTCTTTTGTCTGTCTGTCTATTAATTTTTTTCTAGGCCTAAAGACCCGAAAGAGTTGTTCAACTTGCGACACGTTGCACTTTGCAACATCATCGAGCAGATATTTGGCGTCATGAAACGACAATGGTGCATCTTAATATGTGTGCCTGAATACTCCGTGGACATCCAGTCCCGGATCCCAGCAGCGCTTTGCGCCATTCATAACTTCATGCGAAGAAACAACGGTGATATATTTGTTCTTGCCCTCGAGTACGGGCACAATCTTGCAGAGGATGATGGTGTTGGATCTGGCGCACATTCAGAGGGACCGGTGGATGCTGCTGAGTGCAGACGCGCAGATGCTCATAGGGATGGAATCATGCAAGCAATGTGGACTGACTATCTCGCAGAATGTGCACGAAGGGGACTCCCATTGCCATAGTTGTAGGTAATACATGAATTTTGTACTACAAAATGATCTGTATGCCGCTATGATACAATCATATATTCTTGCGAGTCAATTGATCGCTGTGGTGCACCACCGCAAAGGACTCGCTTCTCTTCCAATGAGTAGAAAATGATCGCCTGGTTCTCGTGTTCAGCTAGAAAGTTGGCAATGCCCAAGCGCTCTTTGCTCATGAGGTCTGTATATTTATTGAGGAGGGAAATGGCACTTCCAACATGTGTGGAAGGCTGAGGCTGAGGCTGCACTGGCGGCAGCACCGGCACTAATACACGAGTCTTCTGCATCTCATGTACTACTTCTATGAGGCTTTTCATCGTTTCGGTGCCCTCCTGCTGTGCCAATAGCGTGGCAGATGGTGGCCGGCCTCATTTCTGAGAGCCTGCAGCTGACGCAGGCGAAAGCACGCTGCATTTTCGCTTTCCCCAGCTTGTACTTGTCCATGCCGAGCCACCGGCAGAGGTAGACCCTTCCATGGAAGGAGCGAGAACGGTAGATGGAGGGTCCACTGAGGATGGTGGCGGGTACACTAAGGATGGTGGCGGGTACACTGAGGATGGTGGCGGCCCTGGAAGTGCGTTGTCTGTGGCTGGGGGGATGGAGGATGGTGTGGTGGCATTGGTGGTGGTGGTAGGTCGGAAGACATGAGAGCCTTTCGACTTGCTTGGCATCAACTGCTGCATGATATCGAAGTGGTTGAAGCCCTTCATCATGAAGGGCCTTGCGTGAGGATGCGACTGAAAACAATGTCAGTAGAGGGGTATGCATGCAGTCTATTTGCGATGATGTACCTTTATAAAGTGTGCCCATACGTTGTCCTTTTTGTCCGTGATGCCCGCTCCATGATCATCACTCCAAGTAAAACCAGTACACTTAATTTCAACAACACTTTGGTATGCTTTCTTTAACTATAAAAATATATGTCATTGATTTGCTGGCGGCTGAAAGTTCACTGGAAACATACCGATGTCCACTTATTTTTGCAAACTGTGCCAACATTTTCTGCGCCCCTTTGATGCGGTGTCTTGTTACTTAAGGGTCTTATATGAAAGTTGTGTATAATGACAATGCAATTATACACAGTGAAGACTTCTTGCCAGTCCTTAAGTCTACGGTCTCCGACTTTTCTACTTCGTGGGAGGTAATGTGGTGAGTTCTTGGGAGGATTTAGTTTGTTGTCCTCTTCTTGTGTAGTCTTATATGAAGTGTTGTGGAAAGTTCTGTGTTCTGGATAAATTTAGGTTTGTTTCAGCCTAGTAGGTCGTGTTTCAACCTATGAAAGTCTGTTTCAACTTTGTCGTCCTTAGATATGTGTCTCACTTTCCGTTGAGAGACAGAGTCTTTTGTATACACGTAAAGCTTAGAATGAGAGCTGTTCAATGGTTATATAGTCAACCCCTGTAAGGTAGTATATAACCTAGAGTAGGATAATGATAACGAAAATTATATAGTCAACCCCTGTAAGGTAGTATATAACTTAGAGTAGATAATGATATCTTAGATTACCTCAAGACACTTATATTGGCCTGCACTTTAAGTCTTAGTAGTCTCACACGGTTTGAGATAAGAGTCAAGTGGGAGGATTGTATTTCATGGGTGAAAATGGGGTCCTTTTATACCTTTTGGGAACCCCCTTACTAAGCATGATTAATCAGATGGATTGGTAAGAATGTGGCTTACAAACCAGGTGATGAATCAGCTTATTACTAAGTACATTACAAATACAGTGTAATCTTACAAAGAAATTAGAAACCATGACAAACCATGACTAAACATGTTGAGTCATGTTAAATGTTGTTACAAAGCATGACCAATCATGACTAAACATGTTGAGTCAGCTTAAATAATGTTACAAACCAGAATATTTCCCAGTCACATGATGTGATGACAAATAAAAGCTGGTGGCTGAAAGAAGCCAAATACAAATAAACAGTCAGAAATAAATAGAGATACAAAACTTGGTGGCTGAAAGAAGCCAAATAAAAATAAACAATGAGAAATAAACAGAAGGTCACATGCTTGATACAAATACAAGGTAAAATAAGCCTGAAAAGTGAGAAATAAAATACAAGACAATGAAATAAAGGAAAAATAGAGAGGTAACTTAGTGACAGAGGGCTAGACAGTCTCTCATATCTTCCTTATCACTCTATATATATATCTGACATGGTATGAATCACATACCATGCATGACAGCAGGTGTTTTATCTTGAGGTGCGCATATGCTTGATTGAAGGTGGGCGCCTTGAAGCCCCCATCACCTGATGCAGGAAGGGCCTGCAGAAGGAACTCAAGAAAGGTGGTTTCTTCTGCCTTCGTCCACACTGCAGGAGCCTTGCTGGTCATTCCGCAAGATGCAGCAGCCGATGTCACGTCTATAGTACCCCGGGAATGTAAGGAATGCAAAGAGCCACTGCTTGATTTATCAGATATTGTGGTGATACCAGAGTATCTTTTGTTTTATTAGATAATAGATGCTTATTAACGCAGTCAGGTCATCACATGCGGTTTGAGCCAGAAATTTTGAACCCAGAGTCATTGTCCAAACTGGACCTTAATAAGCAAGTGATACCAAACAATGTTGATTCTCCACTGGGTCGTCTACAACAGCACTCATGAGCGAGAGAAGACATGGTGAACGGAGAGAGCACCGCTCAAGAGATAACCATAGACGAAGTGGTAAATGGTCTCCTTTACTCAGAGATTCTCGACTCACCTTCTGTGTCAATGTTGATTACCACGCACTACGTCGGCTGTGCTGGTAATGGGGTGACAACGCATTCACTTATGCTTATATTTATAACATGTCGTGATACGCATTCTCCGAACAGGAGGAGATAGAGGATGGAGTCGTTCAAAGTCACCTGAAAGGTGCAGCCACCATGACGAGAAAAGCGACAGAGAATCTTGTCCCACTAAACGTTCAAGGTCCCGGAGGCCATACCGCTCACACAGTCACAAATATCACAATGATACGAGAGACAGAGGAAAGGATAATCACAATGTGAGACATTTCCTGTCGTTGTTTTAACCTTACTATAGGACCAAGACAAATACCACGAGCCTTCCGAGAGTCCTGGGTGAATCAGAAGTCGTAGTGTCGTACATTGTCGCCTCATTTTGTCTGCTGAGTTGCCTTGAACCTTTGAAGATGTGTGGATAAATGCATTGTAGACCGCTGAACATCGACACTGATCTCCCTCACCTTCACCAAACTCTGCTGCATCTATGTCATCTAAGGAACATGGTGGCAGTAGTTGACATAAGTAGGTTGCAGGGGAAGTCACCGATCCTGTTCTCATTCGGATAGTCGCCATGATCGCAAGTCCAAGTCAAAGCATCGAGAGAAAGATCGAGACAAGAAGTACAAGATTACATAAGGACAGGGATAATGGAAAGGACAAGGGTAAAAAGGGCAGCATTCTAACAGGCAAGAAGGTCAGTTTTCTATGTTTACTTTCAACTTGTGGACATATCTTAAGTCCCGGAAAGCAGAATTTCTAGCTAATAATGGGGAAGGATGGACAATGGTAATAGGAAATGAAGCGGGTGGTATGCTCAACCGTTTTTCGCTGGTTCTCAGTCCTTAACATTGCCCTGTACCACGTAGATCTCGATTCTCTCGCTAGTGCACTTGGATATGCCTGGTTGCGCCCCAACATGAGCGGAAAAGCGATCACATATATAACTACACCTAGGGAGGATTTTGTCCTTAGAGCAGAGAATTTGCACGCCCTTGGTCTCGCTGGGATCAACCACCCTTTTGAAGAACTTTATTGCCCTGGTGATCCTATTCCGTCACAAGTGTCCCAGTTTGCACTTGTGGATCATAATGTCCTTGACACCAGACACATGTCTCCAACAGCCAGGGTTGTTTTAGTAATAGATCATCATGAAACTGATCCCAGGATAGTCAAACCGGCTGGAAGTTGCTCGTCTCTTGTTACAAGATTGTATCAATCGTCTTCCAATATTTCCATACCCCCAGAAATGCCCACACTTGCTGAGTGCTATTATGATCGATACTCATGGCTGTTACAGTTCTATCTTTTCACCTCTTCACGTTGTCACATATGCTTACTCATCATTCCATAGTATTCTATCACATTCCGCTGGAAATTTTGGACTGAATCTTATGAAGATATACCAGCTCCTCCCCCACCGAACCCAACCACCGACACCACCGACACCACTGACTCAGATGATGAAGACATGCCTAAAGAAATCGGCTCTCTTCCCGAGGTCTTCAATGGAGACACTCGCAAGGCCACCGCTTGGTCTTTACAGATGGAAGCGTACTTCCTCCTCAACGAAGAGGTATATAACCAAGATAAGAAGAAGATCATCCTCACGTTAAGTAGAATGATGAAAGGAGAAGCAGCCAAGTGGGCTGAAGGTGAATTAAAGAGGGCGACCATGGACGCCACAGTCTTTAACTCTTACGAAGACTTCACTAAGAAGTTCAAAGCCACCTTCTACCCCAAGAACATCGTCGAAACTGCCATGAGGCATATTTCCACCATCAAACAGACCGGCAGCGTCCCTGCCTACGCATCCTTATTCCGCACCATCCTAGCCGATACTGGCATTGAAGAAGAAAACACAAAAATCCTGTTTTTCCGCACTGGCTTAAAGTGTGAGCTAGTCTCCGCTATCCTAGCCCTCGAGAACATCCCAGACACCATCGACGGATGGCTCAGTAAAGCCCTCGACTTCGAGGTAAGAAGAACATTGTTAAACCCGCCAAACATGGGAAGGGCGAAGGACCCTTACGCTATGGATATAGATAAGATGGAGGCAGGAGAAGATGACGATGGTGAGAAAAGTACGAGGAAGACTTACCTCATGCCACAAGAACGTGACCGCAGGCGCAAGAACGGCCTTTGCTTCAAATGCGGCAAGAAGGGCCTTGCTAAAGACTGCCCAAACCATCCTACGGTAACTACCGCTAGGAAAACCCAAACTAACTCTGCATCTAGTTCCAAGAAGGACGATGCCGAATACCAGGAGTTTTTGGAATGGAAGGCATTTAAAGCACGCCAGGTAAAGAAACCTAAGAAGAAGGAAGAATCCGACGAAGAAGAGGATTTTTAAAGCAGAGATCTGCACCGGTGTCAGATTCTCCTAGAGTAGGACTTTTAGTACAGAGCATTGGCGATCGTAATTCTATGTGTATTCCACTTACCATTTGCTCTTCTAAGGTCAACAAAATCATCGAAGCAGCCGCACTGATCGACTCAGGCGCTGAAGGTGAGTTTATTGACTGGACATTTGTCTGTCGAAACTCCATCAAGAGTCACGAACTCGATAAGCCCATACCCATACGAAATGTGGATGGCACGCTCAATAAAAATGGAAAAATCACATGGTACTGTAATCTCTCCTTCCTCGTCTGCGGCATTCCCATGCGAACGCGCTTCCTCGTCACCTCCTTGGGAGGGGAAGACGCAATCCTGGGAATGGGATGGCTAAAGAAAGGAAACCCAGGTATCGATTGGACAAAAGAAGAAGTCCACCTTCGAGAACAAAGCATCAAACAGACTATACAAGAAGTCGAAGAAGAAGACGTCTTTTTTGACACACAGGAAAGTTTAGATGAGGAGGGGGATCCCGCTAGCGAAACCACTTTTTCTCACGAAATCCTTGACTTACTCCCCACCAAAGACGACACTGACGAAACAGATGTTATAGATCCCGATGACGTCCTCATCGCCTACATTAAAGGCGAACACATCATAGGAACATTCTCTATGGAAGTATCCGAGCCTCCCCTTACTAATGAACATATTCCCTCAGATCACCGGTATTACTCGACTTACGGCACCCTAGTACGGAAAGCACAAAACACGTCACAACTACTCACTCAAGAATTTCTTAAACCCGTCAAGAAAACTTTCGAAGAACTCGTCCCCGAGTCATTTCGGAAATATCAAGACATATTTGGAGAAGTAGCTAACGGTATATTACCTCCAGAACGAAAATTCGACCATAAGATCGAACTCAAGGACTCTTTCGAACCACGCAAGTGTAAGATTTATCCGCTTAACCCAGCGGAAGAGAAGGCCATGAACGACTTTGTCGATGAACATCTCACCAAAGGAACGATTATACCCTCCGAATCTCCTCAATCATCACCTTTCTTCTTCGTAGGAAAGAAAGACGGTTCCCTCCGACCCTGCCAGGACTATATATACCTAAACGATCACACGGTTAAGAATAACTTCCCATTACCACTGATTTCCGATCTTATAGACAAACTCAAGAATGCCAAAATATTCACCAAATTCGACATCAGATGGGGATATAATAACGTACGTCTAAAGAAGTCCGATCAATGGAAAGCGGCATTCGCCACGGCACGCGGTCTATTCGAACCAACGGTAATGTTCTTCGGCATGTGTAACTCTCCAGCAACCTTCCAATCTATGATGAACGACATCTTCGGCAATATGCTTCAAGAAGGATGAGTAATTATTTACATGGACGATATTCTCATATTTTCAGATGATTATGAAACTCACCAGAAAAGAACTCATAAAGTACTAGAACGACTCTGGGAACACCGCCTCTACCTAAAACCAGACAAATGCACATTCAACGTCACAGAAATCGACTATCTCGGTATGATTATTCGCCCCAGCTCGGTAACTATGGATCCCGCCAAACTAAAAGGTATATCCGAATGGAAGACTCCCACGAAAGTGAAAGAAGTCCGATCATTCCTCGGATTCACTAACTTTTACAGATGATTTATTGCCGACTATTCCACGGTGGCACGACCCTTAATCGATCTCATGAAGAAAGACGAACCTTTATATGGACTAATGAACGCGAAAACGCCTTTGAAAGGCTGAAACAAACCTTTACGACGGCACCTATTCTTCAAATCCCGGATAAAGCCGCACCATTTGCTATCGCAACCGACACTTCCCTTTATGCGACAGGAGCTGTGCTCCTTCAGAAAAATGATAACGGAGATTGGTTACCATGTTCTTTCCTTTCTCAATCCTTTAACCCGGCTGAACGTAACTATCAAATCTATGACAGAGAACTCCTAGCGATCGTCCGTGCCCTAAAAGCATGGCGACATTATTTACTCGGTTCCCCTTTTCCCGTGACCGTCCACACTGACCATAAAAACCTTCAATATTTTAGGGACGTACAAGACTTGAACAGACACCAAGCACGATGGCAAACATTCCTTTCTCAATTTGAACTATGTATCCAACATGTACCAGGCAAAGACCTGGTCATTCCCAATTTATTATCTCGTAGAACGGATCACCTTCCGGTCGATACCGACGAAAAGGACAATATTTCTATTCAACTCCTACCCGATTCATTGTTCATTAACACCATTGACACTTCTCTTACGGACAGATTACATATTTCCTCCGCTATTGATCCGGTAGTACAGACAGCGCTAAAGGCGCTTACAGACCCAGAAACTCCGCCCCCACTCCATTCGGCTCTTTCTGACTGGAAATTGAGCGACGGAATTCTCTTATATAAAGGACTTACTTACGTACCCCCCGGCGATATCCGCCATGAACTCACTTCCCTACATCACGACTCTCCTACTGCTGGACACCCTGGACGTTTCAAAACCCAGGAACTCCTCTCTCGCGACTACTGGTGGCCAGGTCTAGCAACCTTCGTAAAGAACTTTGTAGAAGGATGCAGCGTCTGCCAGCAGAACAAAGTAAACACTCATCCATCTCACCCACCTCTCGCTCCTATTCCCGCCCCTATTTGCAATCGACCCTTCGCTCATTGCTCAGTCGACCTCATCACAGACCTTCCTTTATCTGATGGATACGACTCTATTATGGTCGTGGTAGACCATGGACTTTCAAAGGGGGTAGTTTTCACCCCTTGTCTCAAAACGATCGACTCTGAAGGAGTCGCAAACATTTTCTTTTCCAAAGTTTTCTCTAGATACGGACTTTACGATAAACTTATATCAGATCGCGGACCCCAATTTGCTTCCAGATTCCAACTCAAACTTGGAAAACTCCTCGGATACAAGAACTCCCTATCCACCGCCTTTCATCCTCAGAGTGACGGAGAAACTGAACAAGTTAACCAAGAACTTGAAGTTTACCTTCGGATCTTCTGCGCTAATGACCAGACTGGTTGGGCCGCTATGCTTCCTCTTGCTGAATTCGTTCACAATTCACGGCATCATTCTGCACGCGGCACATCCCCTTTCTACCTCATGATGGGTTATCACCCGAAACACCTTCCTGATTCACATCCTAAATCCGACATTCCTAATATCGAACAATGCTTACTTATGCTAAATAAAGCACGCGACGAAGCGCTAGCCGCTCATGAACTCGCTCATAACACTATGCATCAACGAATCACGTCTAAATTCGTACCATTCTCTTTAGGCGATAAGGTTTGGCTAGAAGCCAAGAACCTTCATCTCGGATATCCTAATCGGAAGCTCGCTCTGAAACGCGAAGGACCATTTACCATCATTCAAGTCCTTTCGCCCATCATGTATAAATTAAAACTTCCCTCCCAATGGCGAATTCATCCCGTATTTCACGCCGCCCTATTATCTCCCTATAAAGAAAACGACGTACACGGCCCTAACTTTATTAACGCGCCACCAGACATCATTGATGGAGAGGAAGAATATGAAATCAAAGCCATTATCGGTCATCATGGCTCATCATCTAGACGGTCTTACCATGTCAAATGGAAGGGGTTCCCTAGTTCCGAGAACGAGTGGTTGACGGAAGGACAATTGAGTAACACTTCTGATGTTCTTTCTTTCTATAAACGATCGCATCGACTTTAACTTTTGTAGTAATCTGGGCTTACTACCCTTAAAACGGGGGTAATGTTACAGTTCTATCTTTTCACCTCTTCACGTTGTCACATATGCTTACTCATCATTCCATAGTATTCTATTACATTCTATCGTACGATTCTCTTTCTCTTTTTCCTATTCGCTATTCATATTCAAGCTCCGCTTCAATACTCTTATATATACCTTACTCTTTACGCTTTGTATCTTTAACTTGACCTATGCAGACCAGGGCCTGCAATCTAGCTTCATCTTCATCAGAACATTGACTTTGACTTTGATCCTTGAACGTTAAGACGTCTAAACAACGCCGAGCATAACAACGGCCTGAAAGAGGGAGGGAAAGCTCTGGACGTTGACAGTGAGGCAGCTGCATTTTTAATTCCCAATTCCCTTCGGGCACACAAGGAAGAAGTCTCCGCACCAGACAACCAAACAATCATCCACCTCCCTTCCATCCAGTCTCTGTCCGCGACGTTAGCAGAGAAGAAACTCTGTTTATCCCATCTCAGTACACGAGACTTGCTGCGGAGAGACTACAAAGAGTACGCATTCAGCAGGCCTGCATCCGAGGATGTGACAATATGATAAGAGTGGGTCTTGCCGCTATTCCACGTCGCCTCTCCAGATTCTTTGCATCATCAAGACATCTTATAAAAGAAATTCAAGATTTGTTCGACGAAAGAGATCTTAGTGTTCTCGCCATACTCACTACTTTTCGAAGCAAGAAAGGCAAGGGAAGGTGGGAGCAACTTTGGATAATCAAGGCAGATGAAAGCATCGCAGAGAAACTTTTGCAAGGTCTTGAATCAAGCCAAGAGCTTAAACTGAAGAGGCTTGATTTCTCAAAGTTCACGAGCAACACTGACATGGCTGATGAATCTGAGGACGATGATGCTGAAAAAGTAACGGCCGATGAAGCGCAATTCGGGGATTCATTTGTTGTGAGGGCGTACAAGCAGGGTAATGCGAGCGTGACGAGGAAGCAGACTGCCCCCACTCTCCAGAGACTTATGGAAGGGCTATGAACTCATGAGGTGATTGTTTGACACAGTTTGAAAGCCTCTCATACCTGATATATCCGATGCATATGTATAAAGACACGCAATGAACCCATGCAATCACCGTCAGGTTGTCCTTGCATTTCTCCATAAGCAATTAGAATCTTTGCCCCCTCGTTCATGACACGGTTGCATATCCAACTGACACGTTCAAGCATGGTAAACTCTTGGAGCCCTTTCTTCAAACAGGATCCTTATCAAAACTATGGTTCATGCAGGCTGGGCTCACAATCAGCAGTCCACTCTCCACCGTCCACAACATCCACATTTTCAGTTACTTCTCCGCCAGTGGAAAGCGTGTCTGTTTGTCACCTAGGTAAACAACAAGCACTTCATATTCTGTGTGTTGTCAGTGGTTCTCTTCGTTCTACCTCTTACCATCTTTTGAACTGTTCGCACCTCACATCATGAATAACAACATCCCTGCACTCGATTGTCCAGCAGTCATCAATGATCTGGCTGATCGTCTTGGCTCTCTAAGCCGCTTTCTGGACGGCATCAATGACCTTATGAAATTCAGTTCCTTAGGAGACCACAAATTGCAGCACTATGGTCGAAAGGTCTTGCCCTCACAATTCAATCATCTTTTACAGTCAACTGACAATTATTTTCCCGTGCAGATCATCGCTCTGACTGAAGTAAGTATAATTTGAAATTTTGCAAACTGTTCCAATACTGATGCTCTCGGTATTTAAGGGTGCACGTATGATATTGAGACGCGAGGGAGTGGCCCTGTACCTCTTCGTTCTTTGTTCAGAGGAACTTTTGCCATACAAGTCGGCGTACTTCAGGTTTCTTCTTTGGATCAGACGCCGCAGGCCCGCGTTTCCTGCCGACATTGGGGGTAAACATCAGTTGTTATTTCGTTGGACTTCCTTATTCATCGTTTGTACAGATCGAATTACTTCTCTCTTGTCTGTTCTAAAGAGCAATTTCACTATACAGTTCGGAAGAGTTGACACTCGTGCCCAACTGGGCATTGAGGAGTTACTAGTGCCAAATGACGCACTACCCGCTTGGGAAACCGCCATCCAGACTGCAGCACATGCTGCTATTGCCTTGTCGCCACGGAAATTGTATGCAGCGTCGGACATTATGTTACGTACGTGAAGCTGCTGCGATAAGTATTCAGGAGAACCTAGATTGACCAATAATTTTTAGCACCGGATGCTTTGGCGAAAAAAAAGCGGAGAATCCAGGAGCTCGCACGTTATGTGAAGTCACCTGCTGTGAATATGCCCCCACCAGTTTCTCGGGAGTACCTGCCGAGCAAGAACTGGGAGGCTCCTCAGCTTTGAAGGCCATTCGTTCGAACCAAAGCCATACATCAGCGGGTTAGATCGTGCTACAGAGTGCTACAGAGTGCTTCATAGCACTCTGTAATCATGTGTAATGAGTTACGTTTCCCTGATGTATGCTGCAAGGTTGTCCCCGAGAATCAATCATCAGTCGAAGATCTGGATGATTGGGAGCCTCCTTGCCTTTGGAGGCCATTCGTTCGAACAGAAGCCATATGCTGTGAGGTCTTCCCTGAGAATCAATCATCGCTCGACGATCTGTTTACCCTGGACTGATTGCTACCATGTTATATTTCATCAGAACCAAAAATCAGTCCCCTTTCGTTACATGGCTGTTCCGAATTTGTAATTATCCATCCATCGCCTGTCCCATTATCGACGGACAATCCTCCTTCATCGGCTGCCACACCACTGGTATCTGAAGTCTAGAGTCCTTTTCCCCATCCCATCTGTATGTCATGTATATATCCCTTTCGTTTGCAACTAGATCTCTGCTACAGCCGCCTTGGGATGTCATCTCATAGAAATTAGTATTCAAATCACTCTCATTGTTGTCCAGCTTCTCCACGGCATGCTCCAATATTCCACATCACAATCAGGCTGTATTCGTGACTCGAACCCAGCCGGTTGGACACCAAAAATGCGCTGAGATTTTGAGTGGGGACACATCAATGGCTCACTTGCTCAAGTTTTTACATGGAGTGGCATTTCTGACCCAGAAACTCGGAGTCAGCTATGGATATGCGCTGGTGATAAGAACTTTTAGACACTTAGATGAATGTACATTTAGCGCACCACAACAACGGCACGAGTCTCGACGAACGGGGGCACATAAGAAGACTGCAGAGTTGTATTGGGTCAGCGGAGAGAATCAGGATTTCAGGCTTGAGGGATAGCAAGACTACCGGACACAACACCAAGGGGCCCGAGTCAAAGAAGAAAGTGGGCATATCATAAGAAAAGAGAGTTGGGCGCTTAATCCGGTACTGACTGTGAAGCAAACACAAGGATGAGGGAAGATGTACTACTGCGAACATAGCCAACGACCTCCCTCAGAACTGGACTAGGACTGACCGCCCACTCCATCGCAGCTCAACCTATCCGTCTTCCTGAATACTATCCTAATCCTGCAAGTGATTCGTGCAGGATGATGTTACTAAGAGGTGAAATTACCCCATGGCCATTAAGCCAGAGCAAACGAAATACCGTATCCTGTCCCTGCAAAGCAAGAAACTTCAACGACAATGCAAAAAGACTGACATCGAACACATCTTACACCTACCTGCCGGTGGACAGCAAATCGTGATCAATGGCTCATGGGACAGATAGGGGCGTGCAGGTTGGCAGGAGTTCCGATAACGATGTGAGATTATGGAACATCGACATAGGCAAAGCTATAAAAAATGGACAGCATACACAATAGCAATGGAGGGCAAGTGGTGAACGGATGCTGCCAGAGGCGTACATGGTGGTTGTAAGATATGCGATGCGTTGAGGGTTACCAGAAGTGATTACAAGATACTGCCCAGTGTGCATATGGCTTTTCCATGACTCCAGATCCGACAATAATAGGGTGAGTCCTGTACGGCGGGATTTTAAGACCCAGTGAACAGGTTTTCGCACTATATATTCAAAGCAAATTAGTAATTGTCTGAGGGTGCAGGATTGACGAGACCAGAACACATGAGCAAGATTTCAAACTCAGACAAACCTTATTCATCCCAGCAGCCTATTGGTGGTTACCAATGCGCATCCAAGTCGTCGACGACAATAGCAAGGCGGTCCAAGGGGATGGATACGCAATTTTCGTTATGATGCAGCAGATCTATAGCTTGATCGTCCATGACACATCAATGATATTGACATTATCTAAAATGTTGGAGTACAACCCTTGTAGCTTAGTCTGTGAGTACTCTCGTTCTCAAAGTAATGTTCTTTCACACAAGCCTTTGTTCAGTGCTCTGCTGTATACATGCTTGAGCTATGTTTTTGATTACAGTGGATCTTGCTCGCATTCTTGCACACTTTTCTTCAAAATTCTGATATCTGATGTCATCCAACAGGATTCGGCATGATACAGCATGGTAGTGTCTACAGTCACAATTAGTAGTACCAAACAAATGAGCAGATGCATACACCATGTGGGCAGCGAGGGTAATGTTGAGAGCCGATGAACCCGAGGATGGAAAGGCCGAGAGAGGAGGAACCAAAGGAGGAAATGGGACTACAGCCGAAGAGTAAGGCAGCTCAAGGTGCGAGTGCCACCAAACGGAGATTCCAGACGACATGTCAATGTCGGCAATCTTTTTCGTTCGTTTAGTATATGTTTTCAATCAAAACTCCTGCTGGCACACTCACCTTATAAAAGGAGCCAGCTGTCATCGAAACATCTCAGATTCGTAGACCGAATACTGAGATGTGAGTAAAAGTCCTAGTCTAACGTTAGTACAAGTACTAACGTACACGTAGCCTTACCTTTGTGTCTAGGTAAAAACATATGTCAATAGAGATTTGTAGACCAAATACTGAGATCCTTACCTTTGTGTCTAGCCTCGCTATACTCACAATAGGTAACACCACTCACCAAATACGAATATGTTACATCCGCGTTTAACGACTTAGAGCTGTGATGAGTAAATTAAATTTATTCAATGGAATGCAGAGTGTGGCACTAGTACAGTACAGAATTCCCGCTACCTTTAGGGAGTGGGTCTTATAGTTCCTGATTTTGACGTTTTGGTGGTAGATTTCACAATTTCGTTGCCCCTCTTTTTTCGCTTTAGATGGCAACTGTTGCCTTAGATGGTAATGAGGCTGTGTTGATCAATCGGTTTACACCACCTTTAGCTCTCGCCTGCTTGATCATCGCATCGCTGTCAAGTTCATGCTTACACCCCTTTTGCGCTCTCACCATCATGACCTCATTCATCGGCCGCTTCCCTGTCTCTGTCATTTTTGATACTGATTTGAGTTATTGTCTTGTATCTATTCCAGTTGCTCATGAACTCGGTCATTCAGCGCCAGCACCAGGTTCTCGGTTCTCTGAGATTTTCATGGCTTCCTATGATGGCCGTGCGCTCACGACCGATGTTGAGTTTGAGGTCGTGCGCAGTCTTTGATTGTGATGATTTGATTGGGATGAATTGGATTGCTGCGTGGCGCACTGTTGGTAGGGAATATGAGCATCCTGCGCATAATCCTTATTCTCATAGTGCGTCTGGATTTCAAGGTGATAGTATATCATGGTTGAATCCTTGCTATCTGTCTGATGTTGTTTTATGTTTCTAGCAACTTCGTGTATATTTGGTGGTGATGCAAGCCATTTGCCAGAATCTGCTGTCAGTGACTCCACGGAATTATCTCAGTCTTTGTTCCTCGCAGGGGCAGTTTTATTGTCTTGCAGACGTTCAAAGTCTATCGTGCATGATATATTTTTTGCATTGTGTTGTTCGTGGGTCCGTTTGGGTCCCTTGTCATCAGAAGTTGCGTTGCTTGAGCAGGCATGTGCTCTGCATGGTTTAGACCCTAAGGGTTCATATTCCTTGCGGCCCGTTCTACTTGCACCTAAATGGATAACAACCATCGTGCAGTAGTGATAGACAGTGATATTTCGCTAAGTCTCATAATCAACAGCATAGATTAGCATGTGACATGATTAGTAAGGTGGAGTCGGACAGGATTGAAACAAAATGTCTCTTCACGCAATGTAGCAATAATAGTAGTGAAAAAAAAAAGCCGAAACAGGCAGCGGATGTTGCCACTTTAGCTGGCGCTATAGCTTATAAGAAAGTATCATGCAGAAATAAGTAAACAACATCACAAAAATTGCTCAACCGTGAAATTACCTGATATGGACAGTAGGGTGCCTAAACATACAACCAAACAATCATGTGTGATGTCATCCACGTCACGACGCGACAATTGAACGCAAGTAAGTAACTCAGAACGACACCACATCCCTCGTCATTATATCACATTGATTATGAGTAGTTACTTCTTGTATCTACATGATATATCATAGACACTACTATATATAAATAATGTCGAGTAGATACTGTAATCAAATTTTTTGGCACAAGAGAAAATGACAATGAGAATTTGATGCATTGCACTGCACAATCGATCGGTTGAGAACATCAAACTACAATACATTAAAGTGCGCCATACCCTTCCTCTGCAAGCACACCATCATCCAGCTCCTCTCCTTCATCTGCTATGACTCTACCCTCGTCATCATCTTCTTCTTCATCGCTCTCGCTGTCAACATCATCCAAGTCATTCTTGATGTCTTCCCATTCCTCTTCCTCTTCAGCTGCGTCAGGCGCATCATCAGCTTCTTCCACTTCTGCTTCTTCGGCTCCATGTTGCTCGAGTTGGAGAATGTTGTCCCAGTCTCTGGTAGCTTTGTGGCCAATTCCGCCACCATGGAACCTCATGAACATATCTCGATCTACAAATCTATATGTTGTGTAGATAGTATGTCAGCCTATGTAGCAAGAATAAATAAAATGAAATGTGCACATATTCACATACTGAAATTGGCAGTCAGACTCAAGATCTTGAGGATCTATACAATGTTGAAAACTTGGAATTAAGTGAACCCCACGAATGACAAAGTCCGGATCCAAAAATCCATATGCATCAGGGCTGTCTTGATCAAAAAATTCAAGGCACTGGAGTTGTTTTGCAGCTTAACCTGCAGGCAAATTATCCCTTCTGAACCATTGAATGAACAAGAAGTCCATCCGAATTGGTTCAGAATACATCCTTGTGTTGTCCTCACGGTATTACACATTGATATGAAAGATCCTGATCACCCAGGCATACCAGCATGGGTGAGTCTTCTCATCTTCATTGGAGAGAACCATTATGTTGGCACGAGTGCGGGGATTGATGGTGTCCTGTTCATGTCATAGATTGTATGTTGTATAGTTGATGTGTAAAATGCTGTGGTGATATATTTTGTTGTCAGTAAACAGCACTGAGGTACGATCAGCATCGGTGAAGTCATGCTCATCTCCGCCGTATGCAATATTGCAAAGCCGAGCAAGAAGATGGTCCTTAAGTCACGGAATGAACTCCTAATAAAATATAATGAAAGTGTGAAAATGAAAATCTAACAATAGCTTACCTCGATAGCCAGATCACACAAGTCTCCAACATCTCTGCGCCCAATTAACCAGGAGGCAATATCATCATTTGCCCGAGCATATCTGGCAATGGAATAATGATTGGAGGGAGACATTCATGTGCATCATGGTCTTGGATTCTGCTGTGCTGCAAGTGCAGCGATCACCTTCTCAATGAGCTGTTCTTGCACTTCTTGAGAAGTCATGCTGATCAAAGTTTGATCCTTCTTCTTGGCTGTGCGAGGGTACCGGCACTTCGATCGATGGTGCTCGAGTTCTCCCTGTCGGGTATTAGTCATTGAATGAAAAACATAATGAAAAGAAGACTTACTGGTTGTGTTGAATAGCTATCTGTAGTACCGACTTGCCGGATAGTATTTGGGTAGTCAGCGAGCGCGTGGTATTTGTAGGTGTAAAGATTCAATGTCTTAACCTTTGAGTTTGATGTAGAAGATTTCCCAATCTGCAACCCAGTTGCAGATCCCACTTGATTTGAGGCTAATGTAGCCTGACGACGTCCATGGGCGGCGTACTCACTAGGAAGTTCGGTTGTGTTGTAGTATGCACAAGTAGTGCATTGAAACTTGCGGACTGATTGGTCGAGGATGACAGTTGAGGAGTCGAAAAATGCAAAAGTGTTGTTGGTATGTACACGAAGCTTCGCATAAGTGTGCCAGGTAGCAAGGTCAAAGAGGAGGTCGAGAACGATTGTGTTCTGATTGGGGGGGAGAAGTCCTTCAAATACGGGAATAGCACACTAGAAATGAAAGGTGCATCAGTTCATCATCAAATTCTGATAGAATCAATCTCACCTATAATAAATCTTTGAAGTCGCGGGCTGTGAGATGCTTCATTGCAGAAGTGTTCTTGTGGAACCATCTGATCGTTCCCCTGCCAACAGTAGGAACCTGACGGTACCTGTATGTAGTCATATAAGCGCTGTGATATTGCAAAGAGAACTATGACATACCTGAAATTAAGCTCTTGAACCGCTGAACCACCCACGGCAAAGAGAATGTGCATCAAGTGTATGAAAATTGCTTTCCACACACCGAGCTCGAACTCGTGAAGTAAGTCAACAACAAACATTGAAAAAAAATTGAAAATGTATTTAAGAAACCACATAGAAAATGTGTTCTGATATGAAATAATAAGATATAAATCTAAGATTGATGCACAGATTACTCACCCGAGTTGGAACTAGCGACTCGCTTTGCAAGATCTTCTTGATCCATTGCCCATTGATGCCAATGCCATGCTGAAAAATAAGCTTGTGGGCTTTTTCAACTGTGCGATGACATTGTTCATCATCAACATGCTAAGTTGCCTGGCAGTTCTCAAGATCAATCTTCATGCCCATCTTGGGGACATCTTCTTTTTTGATCAGGCAGCAGGGGCAAGGGCATTTGCCAAGAAACTTGATGCATGCAAGCAGAATCCTACAAGAATAGACCTAAGATGAGATACAATCACAAGATTTAAGATTAAAATATGCACTTTTCAGGATAGTCTGCCAAGTAAGTAAAGAAGCAGGGGAAAACACGTCGAGTGATCCCATCCCCACATCAAATAATAATGCCATTTTTGTAGGCATCCATAAAATCTTTGTCCAATAGAAGCAACCATATGGCTTGCATGAGCTCGCACTTACAGTGAGTATAGACATCACTGGATGATGCCTCATCAAAGAGACAGCCGTAATGGTCTTGGAAGTTATCAGGAAGCTTAATATATTGTAATTAGCATAATCAAATTAATAGAATGCAAATGAAATGGCACATACATTTGGAATATACACAACGTGATGACATGCAGATGTGGTTGGCTTGCCTCGTGTGTACTTGGATTGATTTCCAAAGCACAGATAGAAGGGCCAGAGTGACACATCACCGAAACTAGCCAGGTGAGTGCCATCAGACCACATCATCAGTGAGGCAATAACTCACTCGAGGTCATCGCCTGGATCTTGGGGAAGTGCATTAATTTCCTTGTAGGCTTCTATAAAGGCTGGTGAGGAATATGCCTCGCTATAGACATTGATGTTGCGCCCATCAGAGGCTTCCCATTGCTGATGGAAAGGTGTCAGATGGAAGGTGGACACGATGCTGTCCTCAAAGACAGATCTAATGATGTCAGTGAGGGAGCGGTGATGAACACCAGTGATCTCCAATTCTGGGGTGTCTTCTTCTGATGGGAACTTCACCTTTTCTTTGGGTAGGCAGATTTTTACTGAAGAGCTGCACCAGCCATTTTCCACACAAAACAGATTGGATCTGTCCTTGAGGTACTCCTTCATGAGCCTCTTCTCCCTCACATCGTCAAAAATCCGCATGTCTTCTCTCCTATATACATCATTGTCAAGAAATTCCCTGGTGAGACCTTTCATTTCAGCGCTCGACTTAGAGTTTGCGCCAGAATACTGCCAGCACATGAGAAGTCCTGCAGTTGGGCTGCTAAATGGGGAAAATATGTCTTCCAGATGGATTTCTTGGGAGGGAAGTCCAGGATCGATCTGAGAATGCACTAAATGAGAATTGCCCTGAGTTTCGAAGGTCAGGGCATCAGCAATCACATCCAGGCCTTCATTTCCGGTGGGTATGAGAGTGGATTTTTGCGCATAGATGCAGAAAAGACCCAGTGCATCTGGTGCAGTCTGGTAGGGGATGAGTATGGGCTGGTGGTCGGGGAGGTCATTGATGACTCGGTTGGGAGGACTATCTGGAGGAGGAGCAGGTAAATGTGGGAGATTGGTAGGTCCAGCTGGGATATAGTCCACATAATGAGCGGGCATGTGGATTCGTCGGCCAGAACGAGCAGAGGTTATGGCAGGCACATCAGGGATTGGTGGGATTGGTGCGCGGACGTCAGTAGAAGCTCCAGCAGTATTTTCATTTTATTAGTTATAAAATTAGACAAACTGATCATTCAATATAAAATGACTTACCTCATGCATATGATCATGATTGAGCCATTGATCATTGTCGACATCCATCTGGTCTTCAGGACTTAGTTGATGAGCATTATGGCTCATATCTCTGCCTTCTGGTGAGGAAGATGTGTCAGGAGCCATGACATGTTGCCTTTTTTTTCTTCCGGCGCATTTGCTTCTCCAGACAGCGCTGCTGTTTATAGACATCAGCATCCAGGCTCTTACTGGCGAGCCTCATGATTACTGAGGCTTTTCTGAGTTGTGAAAACCTTTGCACACCCAAGGCAGGTGAGGCCGTCCATGGGATGCACACTCAGCCCAACATGAACACAAACTTTAGATCTTATATTGCATCATAGATATAATAACAAATTCATAAGACTTAGCGGGAATATGTATTGATCCTGCTTCCTGCAACTCTTCTCCAAATGAGTCTACTAACTCCCGGTCTAAGTCCTTGGAGTTGCCTGTGCCATTTCGCCACATGGCTTAGCTATCACCACCTGCATGGTATGTGAGCATTCTTAAGGTATGACAGACACACCTATTCCAGTCTGTGGATGAAGCAATCAATGCTTCTGATCAAGCAGTCAGTTCATGATCATGATTGTCAACTAGGATATGATGAAGAGATTTTGACTTAGAGAAATTAGAATTGAGCGAGGTGGGTCATGTGATTTCGGAGATTGAAATTTGCCTTTGTTGATCAGATTCTGATCACACAACTTCTTCTATTGATATCATTGCATCACATCTCAAGCATGCCGCACAAACATTGTTCCAGATCCCCCTCAGCTTCAGAGAGTGACACCAGCAGCGACTCTTCTATTTCCTCAATGGAACACTTGCAACCTTGCCTTAAGAAGCTGTCTAAAAAACATGGGCACAAATCTGATAAAGGTGATCGAGAAGTCAAGTAAGTTTTCTATTCAAATTCCTTGCACCAAGATCACTAATATAATCTATGATCAGGCAAGCTAAGATCTCGAAAGAGAACAACTCTGAACTCGAAGCTCAAGAGGATTATCTTGTGGCAGCACATGCCATGGCACGTTGCACTGATCTGTTTTGCAACATGGAGAAACTTCTAAGGGTAGGTCTACTCCTACAGCAAGAGCAGGCTGCAGAGAATGGAGAATTGGAAGAGTCAGAGGTCGAGCACGAATCCCGTCAGAAAAGGCTTGCAAGTCTGTAAGTCCGAATGTTCATTTTGCAAAGTCTATACTAAGATGTCCATTTTTTTAGTTCGACCAATACCCTCAATCAGTACAAGCGCAACTATCAGCAGTTGCGTCAACTGGCTCCGTGACTCCAATCACTTATTGCTGATCGCACAAAGTCCAAGGAACTCACTCAGATCACACAAAAGGTGAGTATATGCTGCTTATATGCGCACATATCATGTACTGATATACTATTTAGATGACTGCTGTTATCAGTGGAACACGTTTGGATGATGCAACTCACTTAAAGGCCCAAATCAGCCACTATGCGGTGCCTGAACCATTAAAAGAAGGTTTGAAGCCTACAATCTACAACGGCGGCTCACTGTCCAGGGTGCACATGGGCATCAATCACCCTGTGCTTGCTTCTTTTCTTTGTCTGATATCAGCACTCACTGATTTCAACCGAGATCCCACATTGTAAGTACTCGATTTATGACATATCCGATCATCTGATGTTCTTTGACTTAGGGCCCAAAAATGGATGGAGATCAGACGTATCTGTATGACCTCAATCGACTTTCCGGTGTTTCTGTGGGCCGGAAATCCTCCTGGCAGCAGGTACAACAAGGATGCCATGCACGAGGGCCTGTTCCAGGGCTATCTCATCGAGCATGTAAGTCTTTCAGTTGATTATATGCATGTATCTTACTAATATTTTGTATTACTAGATAATGTGTCATATTTTTACAGGTCCTTCCACTGCATTAGGTGACGACTCGTGCACTACACATTTGTGCAATATGTCCCTGCATGACATGACTACTGTCGAGGCAGAGCATATAGCATATGTTTGCATTCAGGTGAGTTTTATTTTAATTGATGTACTTAACACAACTGACTTATTGTTTTCATATACTATTACTACTACTACTACTACTGCCAGGCACGCTTTGCCATCAGCAACAAGAACAAATGGTCTGAAGCAGACAGTCAATTCAACAATCGCGCATTCTAATACAACATTATCGACTTCATTCGCGAGTGTGAGGATAGAGACTGGGTGGAGGGACTCCTCAAATGGTGGAACAGATATGTTTTTCTCCTCCAATAATTTGCCTGGCTAATTGCTTCTGTCTTTAGGACATTATTTAAAAATGAGAACAGATGCGAAGGCGGACTGACCATATCCGACAACAATGGACCTGGAAATTTGACTGGCTCGTCCTTTGCTCCAGTAAATGGGCTGGCTAAAATGCGAGCACAGATGGCCACTCGTGCTAGCGCTGCCAAACAACCTGCAGCACCTGAAGCTACTCCAACTATCCCAACGCCGCCTAAAAGCTCTGTCACCCCGAAACCAGAACTCCTCCCACCGCCAGTTGCTTCTGTCACCCTGGAACCAGAACTCCCCCCACCACCAATCGTTCAATCTCCAAGGCTTGTGCAGACAGCCCCCATCCCACCAACATCTCCTGCACCGAGTGAACTCATGCCAGATGATGTTCCATCTGACGACAATGAAGACTTGGAACCCATCAGTACCAACAAAAGGAGGAAAAAGAAGGCACCAAAAACCAGCTGGGGTAAGGGTAAGCACCGTGCAACAGAGGAATCTGACGATGAGGACCATGAACTGGCCAAGCCAACCAAAGGTCGCACCAAACACGTAGCACGCAGGAAATAGATGGTATTGGTATGTTCATTTTGCCTTATTCCGACTATGTTGTCACTCGGTTTTCCTTGATCGGTTTTAGATTTTTCACTTCAATGATCGCTCGTTCGGACTCGGCAGCTGCTTCTCGAATCACCGCATTTTCACACTGGACTTTGCCTTGTTGTACTCATATTCTCACACTGGGACTTTTGGTGTTGTGCTCTTGTTACCTCTGACATTGCTTTCCATGTTATCTCTGGATTCTCTCATTCAGTGATACCCTGCTAGTGCAGCAGGTTCCTTATATTGTAGCACCTTACAATATATTGTATTCTCATGATGATAATCAATATCTGACTTTAACTGAATATCTCTGTGTGATTTACAATATCTGAATAACTAATTGAGATAATGATATATTTGCCTGGAACACGTCATACACGCTCCGTCCATTGGACATTTCAGGTTCCAAGTCTGCTCAGACATACTAAACCCTAACCTTGATATTATTGACAGTATTGATACCATATATATATCTATGTATTGTTAGGTCTAGTATGAGCAATTTTTGTGATGAACAGGAGAGCAAGGGAATGAAAACAACTAGAAATACAGCAAATGGAATAATATAGCGAATCATGTCTCTAACTACACACCTATGTGGACAAATACAATCTGCTGTTCTAACGGAATCTTCTTGTGCAACAATCTCACAGCCTTGTGCAGCACTACCGCAGCACCTGTGCAGTCCAATTTTTTTGAATCACCAATTAACTTGCGGTATAAAGCAGATATGACTTCGCATGCAACCTCGTTGTCAACAGACCACATGGAACCGATCACACTGCGAAATCCGCAGAATTGCATGGCCTCAGCTAGATGGATCGACTCATCCGGGCGCTTTTTGTCGCCAACGGTAGTGTGGCAGGCCGATAAGAATGCAAACTGCGGGTTCTGCCAGTTGGATCTTATGATATATTTTTTAAAAAGGCTTCTTAGACCCATACCACGTGGCACCCTTCAAGGACCTTGGAAAAACTCAACCGAGTTTTGCGCCAGACGGTGACAAAGATGTCTTTGATGTCCTCCTCACCTCATTTCTCTTCTCTTTTATCTCTTTCTACTACTAGCTTCTGAATACATAAAAAGAAAACCAACAACAAAACCAACAAAACAATAAAAACACAAAAACATGGTGCTAACACCAATCAACCATACTAACCAGACTGCATCAGTGACAGCAACCACTAGAGGCCGAAAAACTACTGCCAACCAACCTCTTTTATCAATAAGCAGAGAAATAGAAGATCATCTTACTGGTTCAGATATCAGATCCGAAATCAAAGACCAAATGGCAGCCAGAAAACTACTCTTGACGCATGGCCTCAATCTACCTGTTGCCTGCAACATCATTAAACAAACGGCCCATGCCCTGCTAGAATTCAGCATCACAGTGGCCTTAGGTGCAACACATGTCGACATTCTTCGAGCCATCGCAATCCTGCTTATTGAAGCCGAACAAAACCTGGATGCAGCAAACCTCATTGAAAAAGTCACATCCCTCATACAAAGCCCCATAGTGCAACTAGAAGAAAAAGCCGCGAGAATAGCAGAAATCACCAATGCCCACAAAGCAGCACTGGAAAACGCAGCAATAGAGCTACTTGGAAACATTTCCAACTCAACTGAAAGCATTGAAAAAGCAGTGATGAATGCTACCACTGCGTCATTAGACCACCAAAAAGTTAAAAGTCCTGAAGGGACACAAACTTATGCACACGCAGCCAGAACTAATGTCCTGCCCCCACTAACCAAAATCTTAGCCCGTAGTGAAGCACAAGCAAGGCAAATACTCATTGACAGATGTTCATTCGGCAAGATAGACACGCTAAGAGGACTAACTGAAGCTGAGCTTGTCGCAAAAGCCAAACTAACATTAGAACTAGTAGAGAAAGATGAAGTCACCATTTTCCAAGGACTAACCTTCCAATCAGCACGATGACTCCCACATGGAGGGATCCTATACAAACTCGACTTGGCAGAATCTGCCCAATGGCTCAACACCCCCACCCACAGAGGAAAATTCGCGGTCAACTTCGGCCCCAACGCTACTGTCAAAGACCGATCCTTCAACATATTGGTTGAAAACGTACCCATCTCTTACAACCCCAGCTCGATACAAATCAACACAGAAGTAGAAGCAAAGGGAGGACTCAAGCAGGGATCAATCACCAAAGCAAGATGGATCAAACCAATCACTCGCCGCAAAGCAGATCAACAAACAGCACACGTCATCATCACCCTCAGAACCAAAGAAAGTGCCAACCAAATCCTCCATTTCGGTATCTCAATTGAAGGCAAGAAGGTCTATGGACGAAAACTCCTTCCAGAGCCAACACGCTGCCTCAAATGCCAATCTTACAACGTATCCCACGTCGCAGCAGAATGCACCCAGGAACACGACACATGTGGAACATTTGGGGCAGAGCATTGCACAGCAGCATGCAAAGTAGACAATCCTAACTACTATCAATGCGCTAACTGTGATTGTCAGGGCCATGCCTCATGGAGTCAAGAATGCCCCACCTTCATCAACAAATGGGAAAACTTCAAGAGTTGCTCCGAAGACGCCAAATACAGATACTTCCCAACTGATGACCCTCTCACCTGGGAAAACCAAAACAGCAATGACAACTACAAACAACAAAACGAACCACCAAGGCAGCCGATGTGGACTCAACCAGTCACAGACCTCAACACCCATGGTAACTATGGCTGACTACTGATCAAAATACCACATCCACAACCCCAGCAACAGCAACAACTGCAATGACCAGCCTAACAACAGGGAAAACAAGCCCAACACCGTCAACCTCGTGAAAATCCCAATCGGAATGGGATTCCAGGCGCGTCTAATGGACAATTGGTTAACCTCCCAACCACAAGGCCAGAACAAACTGAACAAACACTTCCCTCCCTCAAACCACTCATCTCCCAGATCCACCACCACCACACCTCTCTGGTTCCCGCCATCAACCCAGACACCAACACCGAAAGTCCCTCTCACTCCAACTTTGACTAATGCAGGACAACCATAATGAACAACACCCCAACACCAACTTCAAAATCTGGCAACAAAATCTATGCAAATCCTCAACTGCCTGGGAGCACATGCTCCAAAACCTCAACCCCAATACCTATGATCTTGCATGCATTCAGGAACCCTTCCTCAACCCAGTAGGTCTCACTAATGCTTCCAATCTTAGACGATACTGAGACATCATATACCCCACCAATCATCACTCAAACCCAGAATGATCACAATCCATCCTACTTGTCAACAAAAAACTATCCAAAAACAACTGGCACATTGTACCTCTTGACTCTCCCAACATCACTGCAATCGAATTAAATGGAAACTTCGGAAAGGTGCGTATATACAATATCTACAATGCCTGCGACCATTCGCAAACTCTCCAATTCCTTGAATGGCACTTTATAGTCGAAAACTTTGCTCACCATCCCCTCCCTCAACTCAACACTCAAGGCGATAACAGTGTGGACCACACCCACATGATCTGGATGGGGGACTTCAACTGTCACCATCCCATGTGGGACCTGACAAGCAACTCTCATTTATTCACCGCAGCGAACTTAGACGCTGCGGACATACTAATTAATCTCTTAGCTGCATATTCACTCACTCGAGCACTACCCCATGGTATCACCACCCTCGAAGCCTCAAACACAAAAAACTACACATGCCCAGATAATGTATTTTGCTCCGTTGAAATTGAACATATGTTTACTAAATGCGCTGTGGAATACCAACTACACCCTGTAAAAACTAACCATTTCCCAATAATTAGCACCCTAGACCTCCAACCAGAACACATCAACCTCGAACAGTGCCCAAACTATAGAACTGTAGAATGGGACACATTCAGAGAAGCCCTTTCGTCCGAACTCGAAATGCGACCCCCACCCGCTAACATCCAATCTATAGATGAATTTCAAGCCCTCTTCAAACACCTAACCCAATCAATAGCTAAAACCATAGAAGAGCATGTCCCCAAGACCAAACCGTCACCCTATGCAAAAAGGTGGTGGTCGAACGACCTAAGCACTGAATGAAAGCAAGTACATCAGCTCAGCAAGAAGGCCAGAAACTGTCTAGCCCAATGTCAAGACCCCATCCATGAAGAGTTCTGCCTAGCTTGCAACCGCTTCTCCGAAAACATCAAGAAAGCGAAGAAGGACCATTGGGAAGAGTGGCTCGAAGCCATCACACCAATGAACATCTGGGACCTTCACCAATATGCAGCCAGCAGCCCACAGGACCAAATTCACATGTGGATCAAAACACTGAAAGACCCAAATGACCCAGGAGGAATCAGCACCACACAAGACAACACCAGGAAGAGCGAACTCCTATATAATGTCTTTTTCAGACAACCCCCAGATGACGAGCACATTGAGCCTGACTTTGCCTATAATCCACCCATCTGCGAGTTCGCACCCATTACTGATGAACAAATCTTTCGCACTATAGCTAAACTCTCCCCTTATAAGGCTCCAGGCCCAAATGGAGTATGTAACTGTGTCTATAAGAACTGTGCTGACCTACTTGTACCTTACATGGGCCCCATATTCTGCGCGACATTCGAACTTGGACACTATCCGGAAGACTGGAAACTCTCCTTGACAGTGGTAATCCGAAAACCTGGCAGACCAGACTACAGTCTGCCGAAAGCATACCGTCCCATCATGCTACTTGACACCATGGGTAAGATACTCTCATCCTGCATTGCTGACGACTTGGTCTATATGGCAGAGCATCATAACCTTCTCCCCCCAACTCATTTCGGAGGATGTCCAGGAAAATCAACAACCGACTCACTGCATCTTCTCACAAAATTCACAACAGATGCCTGTGCCTCAGCAGAACCTTTCGTATCAATATTATTGTTGGAAGCTAACGACAAATGTGCTCAGTGTCTGGAAGAGAACAACTATATTAATGTTACCTAACAACAAACGTGCTAGAGAATCTGTTGTAAGGGACGGCAGGACAAAAGAAGAACAGAAGAAACGTACCTCAGTGTCTGGAAGAGAACAACTGAGGTACGAGGAAGAAGCGGAACAGCTATATGTACTAATCCACGTGATATGACAGAAAAAGGAAAAATGCTATGAACATATGATGACAACGATGACAACGACAACGACACTATTCTACACACCCCCACAACAAGACATTGTTGCAAACTAGCGAGAGACGAGCGATAGCCTGGTTTGATGATGACGAAAAAGGGGACGAGGAAGGCATTTCGTGAAGATATCTGCAACATTATTGTGAGTGGAGAGCCACTCAGGTTTGAAAGTGCCGGCCTTGATGTGTGCGCATATAAAGTGATAACAAAGATCTATATGTTTTGTGCGGATATGGTTGGCAGCTTCCTCCGAAAGAGCAATCGCTCCCATGTTATCAGCGAACAGACATAGAGGCATTGTGAAAGGGATGTTCAAGTACTCGAAGAATGAGATGAGCCAGAGTCCATCTTGAACAGCCGCAGTAAGAGCCATATATTCGGCTTCCATCGAGGAAAGGGCATGTGTGAGTTGTTTCTTGGACGAATGCAAGACAAGGCCTCCGTTAAAGAACCATACATATCCAGTGATGGATATATGGTCTTCAGGGCAGCTGGCCCAATCCGAATCGCTGAAGCCGTGGAGTTCTGAATTGACCGTTGCACCCCCATAATGAGTGCGTAGCATGATGGTGCCTGCGAGGAAGCGCAGGACATGTTTGGCTGCAGTGTAATGACAGGGTCCTGGAGAACAATTGTGCTGAGCGAGCTTCATGACGGCAACTGCAATGTCAGGGCGAGTGTACATGGCTAGATATAGGAGCTCGCCAATGAGCTTGTGGAATTCAGTAGTGAGGTTATCAATGTCAGGGTGTAGATCTGTATCATGACCAAATGGAAAGTTGGCATCCATGG